AACACTATTAAAAAAAAAAAGAATGAATGAAAGAAAGTTAGTTTGGTTCTGGCATAAACTGCCTCTTTTTAATTGGACCATAGATTTAGAACAGAATAGGACCTTAAAAGGCCAACTTCCTCATTTTACAGGTGTGGAGAGAGATCCAGGAAGGCTAAGTCACAAGGATAGAAGGTCACACAACTAGTATATACAGAAACAAGATTTGCACCTAGGTCTTCTGACTCCAGAGCCAGTGATCTTTCCACTGTGCCACATTATTACCTCTCTATTGATGAAGGCTTTCAGATCACTGTTTTAATTTCCAGATATTCATTAACTAGTCCTTCAGTAATACATTTTAGAATTTTTTTTCAGTTATCCAAGTCAAGCTCACTGGTCTGTAGCTTGTTCTTTAACCCTTCCTTCCTTCCTTCCTTCCTTCCTTCCTTTCTCTCTCTCTTTCTCTCTCTCTCTCTCTCTCTCTCTCTCTCTCTCTCTCTCTCTCTCTCTCTCTTTCTTTCTTTCTTTCTTTCTCTCTTTCTTTCTCTCTCTCTCTTTCTTTCAATATTTGCCCTTCTTCAGTCCTGTTCTCCATGATCTTTCAAAGATGACTGATAGTTAAGTAGGTCAACAACATTTGCCATTTCTTTTAGTACACTTGGGGCAAGAGACTTGCAGTGATCAAGAAGACCCTGCTCCCTCTTACTCCACTTCTCTTGCATATTCACTCCCTTGTTCTGGTCTTTCTTCTTCAAAGATCTTTCTTCCTAGCAAAGAAATAAAGGCAAAATGAGAACTTAGTAGCTCTACTTTTTTTCTGTCATCATGTATCATGGTCCTATCTACCCAATGTAGAAGTGGATAGAGCACTAGACCTGGAGTTAGGAAGACCCGAGTTCAAATTTGACTTCATCTGTCAGGGTGACCCTGGGCAAGTCACTTAACCTCTGCCTTAGTTTCCCCATCTGTAAAATGAGGATAATAATAGCACCTATCTCCCAGGGTTGTTGTGAGGATCAAATGAGATAATAATTGTTAAGCACTTAGCTAATGGCATATCATAAGTGCCATATAAATGTTATCTATTGTTACCCCAAGTAGCATTTCTCTTATGTTTTTTAGCTTCCTCTTTTCTCCATTATAGCTTAAAGAGCTCACATTCGTTTTCCTTGGCTTCTCTCTCTAGCTTTTTTATTTTGAATCGTAGAATTCCTAAGACTGTTCTTAAAGAATGATGCCAAATGTTTGTTTCACCCTCTGTGCCCTTGCTTTTCTTTTCCATGTATCTTTTTTGAAAAAACTGAGTTCCATGTACACTCACGTTCTTTAGACAACTTCCTCATTTTTCCCTCATTGAAATTTTCTTGGTATCTTAAGTATTTAATTTTTAAAAATTTTGAATTTACATTATTACTAGTCCCCCCCCAAAACCACTTCTTCCCAGATAAAAAATAAAAACGGTCTTTATAGTTAATGAGCTTAGTTAAGCAAAATAAGTCTATGTATTTTCCATTACACCTTGAGTCCATTACTCCTGTCAGAAAGTGAGTAGCATGCTTCATCATTAATCCTTTAGAGCAGGGGAGTCAAACCCATAGCCCCCAACACTTAGTGCTGCCTGAATCAGATCAAAATGAAGCTGGAAAATATTTAACAAAAAAACCCCATAAAAATGCACTAGAATATAGAAAATGTTACTGTGTGGTTTTCTAAGCTAACATGTAACCCATTGGGATCTGTGTGTATGGTTTAGTGGCTGTTTCTATTTAGGTTTAACATCACTGTTCTAGAGTCAATGTTGGTCACTACTTTTATAAAACTTCTTCCAAAGTTGTTTTTCTCTAAAATGTTTCTATTACTGTTTAAGTTGTTCTTCTGGTACTGCCCCTTCACCCTGTATCCATTGATCTAAGTCTTTCCAGGTTTCTCTGAAGTCATCCCTTTTTTCATTTCTTGTAATACAAAAATATTCTATTAGATGCATTTATCATAATTTGTTCAGCCATTCCCCAATTCATGGGCATATCCTGGTTGTTTTTTTTTTTTAAAGATCTAGTAGTAGTATTGCTGGGTCATGATTTAGTTACTTTGGGGCATAGTTCCAAATTATTTTTCACAATGGCTGGATTAGTTCACATTTCTACCAAATAGTGTATCAATGGGTCTGTTTTCCCACAAGCACCTCCAACAATTGTCACTTTCCCTTTTTGTCATCTTTTGCCAGTCTGTTAGGTATGATAGTGAACCTCAGAGTTGTTTGCATTAGAGAAATGTTCATTTCTCTAATTATTAGTGATTCGAAACATTTCTTCCTTTAAAAACTACCTATTTATATCTTTTGATCTCTTGGAGAATGGCTATCATTCTGGTGTGCTTGAGTAAGTTTCTTATATATCTTGGCTCCAGACCAGGACTTAATGCCTGAGAGCTTCCAAACCTTTTGGGGCTAACTTCTCTGTAGAATTTCAGTCTATTGGATCCTAGATGTTCTTCCTTTGACCTCCCTCTCTTCTCTAACAATCCAGGCTACATACCACATCGTTACATGGTTTCTAATTTTCCTCTCCTCTCTAACAAATTGCAAGGACTGTATCCCAGCTTTCTCCTTACTGGTGAAAGTCAGATATAGAATAGCATTTTTGCATGTTGGCTTCTCCATCTTTTGAGGGATGAAACTATATTAAGACAAATCAAGAAATGATTAGCTGTTCTTCTTTTTTGGCCAAGAGAGAATTCCAGGACTTATCTGCATAATTGAAGTCTACCAACACTGCTATGCTAGATCTCTGTTCCAGGCTTGCAATATGCTTTCCAAAATTTTCAGCTATTTCTTCCTTCTCTCTGTATTGTACTCCAGTAACAGAATCATTTGTGTTTCTGTCTCCAGTGATCCTTACCCACAGTCTGTCCATCATGCTTCCGTTCTATGGATTTTAGATTTCCTTACATGACTGTAACTTTTTTATGTACAATGCTACCTCTCTGTGCCTTTCATCTGTTCTGTATTCTATAACCTTTCTAAAGCCAAATTCTGGTTATGAGTCTCATCCTACCAAGTCCCAATGTAATCCTCTTAAGTAAAATTTGCCTTCTTCTATTAGGACTTCTAATTTATCTTGCTTATTAACCACTGTGCATGTGTGCATAGACAGCTAAGACTGGATTTTATTGGCTCCTTTCTTGGATTCAATACCCTGTGAAATTTTGGGTGTCACAACTGCTATTCTTTTTCTTACGTTGTAGCTATTTTCATCATAGCTAGCTTGGTGGATGTACATACTTTTTTTCCTCTTTCCTTTTTCAGTTTAAAGGTTTATTTGTTTTTAAGGTTGCAGGTTTTATAGGTAGGGGAAAAACCCAGTTGGATAAGGAGATTGAAAATTAGGGAAAGATGATCTTCACAGGTGTTACTATGGGATAATGGAATATTACATATTGTTTGTCTTAGTTGACGTATTGGTGTTTCGCTGAACTGCTATTTTTTATTGTTACAGGGAATGATTCCCTGAGTAGGGTAGAAAGGAGGCATAGATTCAGAAATGAAAGTGACATAAAAACAAAGTATATCAATAAAATACAAAAGAAAAAAGAAAGATGATTGAACAGGAAAGCTCTTGGAGGAAGCAGGAGGGGATGAGGGCAAGACATTTAGGTCTTGGAATTGGTGTTGGAAGGAGAGGGCCACTTTATGCATTATTAAATGACTAGAGAGAATGCAAGCTTAGGTTGAAGTGACTGAGAATATAGAGTTGTGGAGAGGGAGCTCAGTTGGATGACCTCAATTTTTTCATTGACATGAATCCTCTGCTGAGAGGGAACCAGGAAGTAGGTGAACACAAGTTTTGAGAAGACAGTAGTAGTAGGCTGGTCTCATTATCAGACTGACAAGTAACTTTAGTACCATCCTGCTGATAATTATAGCTCTTAGTCTCTTTTTCCATGGACCCTTCCTGGACAGTCGTCCTGATAGCACCACTGGACCCACATTTATTCCTTACAAGACAAGCAGCTACTTCTTCCTTAGAATATCTAGTCACCTCCTATTCATGGACAGGATCACTGCATGCAGTTGTTTGAATGATTGTCATAAGGAGAAGGGATTAGATTTGTTCTTCATACTAAATTGTAAACTTCGTAGGCACAAAGGTAAGACCTGTGAGGGGGAGATTATCTTTCTGAGTCCAGTGCTCTGTATAAAGGGACTGCACCTGCAAATTAATTGCTATGGGGAATCCTTTGGTGAGGATACTCCCTCTACCCAGGCAGGTAAGCAGCATCTCTGTCATTTAAGTCTTCTGAGTTGCGTAGCACACCAAGAAGGACTGGGGTCACCCAGGAAGGACTTGATCATAGCTTCTTGGTTTCGTGGCCTGCTCATCGTCTACTGCCTTTCACTCAACATAAAGTGGATGCTAAATCGAGGTTTGTTAACAGTAACATTTCTTGCTTGACCTCAATGGTAGAACCAAGAACTCTAGGTATGACTTTGTTAAGACTATTAAATTGCAAAGTCTAAATTCCCTGTCATTGTAAACTTCCAAGCAGAGTCTGGATGATCTTCTATTGGGATCCTTTTTTCAGGCAGGTGTTGCACCATCTGCTCTCAGGAAGAATTTTGGTATTATGGGTCATGAGTACTCAAATATATTCCAACACTTATGGCATTAGAGCTGCTCTGGGCTCCCCATCTTAAAAGAAGCACCTGGGCCTGCACCCGCAGACTTCCTGCAGGCCCTGGGCTAAAAGACCGACCCACTACCGACCCTACTCCAAAGCGGCAGGATAGGCAGAGCACAGAGAAGAGGAGGCCGCCCGCCCTTCAGGCATTCGCGGCCTAAGCCACGGGCGTGCGTCTAAGGTGAGGGACAAAGCCCAGCCCTGGGCCGAGACCGCGCTGCGCAGGCTCGACCAATGAGAGGCCGGGAAGTGGGTGACTGGCAGAGGCTTAGAGCCAGTGAACGGTCGTCTTGTTGCGAGGTGGCCCGGGGCTCCGGTATTATAAAGGGCGCCACGAGTTGGCATTGTCAGGCGGCCGAACAGCACAGGGGCCGGGTGGAGGAGGGTGGGAGGAGCGGGAGCTCTGCGCCGCCGCCTGCCGGGAATCGGAGCGAGGGGCCGGCGTCTGCGCCGCGGCGGAGGCCGAGGCCGCTTTCCCCAGGCCGGCCCGAGGCCCGTAACGTCACTGGGCGGCGAGGTGAGTTGCGGACGGGGATCCAGCCGGGCCGCGCTTGAGGGGGAGGGGGTGCGGGGCGCCATCACCGCCGCGCCCGGGCCCGCGTCTCTCGTCGCCGGGCCTTACTGAGTTCATTGTCTTGCTTGCTCTTTGCAGGCCTTTCCCCGCCGCCGCTGCCGGGGCCACTATGTCTGAAGCGGCGGAGGAGCAGCAGCTGATGGAAACGGCCGCTACTGAGAACGGCCATGAAGCCGCCCCCGATGGGGAGCCTCCGAGTGAGGCCGCGAGCGGAACCGGAACCGGGACCGGGACTGGGATTGGGACTGGGACCGGGACGGGGACCGCGACCGCGACCGGGAGCGGGAGTGGGTCCGGGGCGGCGGCCCCGGTGGCGGCGCCTCCTGCGGCCCCAGCTGGGAGCCAGAACGGGGCCGAAGGAGACCAGATAAACGCCAGCAAGAACGAGGAGGATGCAGGGTAAGGACGGACGCGGCGGCTCCTCTTTCTCCCCCCCCCCACTCCTCTTCTCGGCTCGGCTCACCCCTCCCCCATCTCGCCCGCGCCCCTCCCCCACCGGCTCTGGGGGGGCCCTCGCGGCCCCGGGCCCGGCTGGGGGGAGGTGTGGGCGCGCGGGCGGGGCGGACAATGCGCGGGCCGGGCCGGCCCCTCGGCGGCGGCGGCTCCTCCTTTGTTCTGGGGCTGCCTTTTGTTGGCGCCATGTGGTTGGGGGGAGGGGCGGGAGATCTAATTTGTGCCAAAGGAAAAGGCCCCTCTCTCTTCCTGCCCGGCCTTGCTGCCCGCCCGCCTCTGACGTTCCTCGGGGCCTAGAGGCCGAAGCCCCCCCATTGTGGTGGGGCTGCTGCGGTGGCTATCGTTGGAGACTTACGAGCCGGTCCTTGGCACTTAGGGGCTTGGCGGGAGTCTGCAGTCACTGCCTTCAGTTAGAAAAACTTTAACTTTGCTCGTCTACTAAATTTGCTTGGCAGAGACTGCTTTGGTTACTGGGAGGCTTCGTTAAAGCCTCAGATGAATATTGGAGTTGCCCCGAGGTCTCTTTGTGAGAATTTCCTCTTTTGGCTGGCTGAGAATGGGAAGGAAGACTTAGTTGTTTCATTTGTCTGGCCTGCTCAGCATGGCTACTTGACTAGACTTTTCCCAAGGTTTACAAGAAAGAATCGGGGCGAGTATAGTATGGAACGTGCTATTTCAGAATGATTGAATAGAGAACTATTAAGTGCTTGCCGTGTTCGGGGCACTGTGCTAATAATCGTGCCTTGAAACCAGATGGTCTTGGATTTTTTAGAGTTTGAAATCCCTCTATGTTAAAGCTGTTTCTGTGCCTTTTTAGCACTCCAAATTTGGATGGATGATAACCCAAGGCTTTCTAGTGCATTTGTTAAATGGAATAAAACGGAAGAGAGTGTCTTATCTCCTTCTGATTGACCTTGGGTGTATTTTACACAATTTCAGTGTCTAGTGCTGCTTTTCACTGAGAAAGTCTGCTGGAGCAAGCACTTTTGAGTTTTCAGTAATTTAAAGGGGAAAGGTCTTTGGCCTCCAGGGCCCCCTCCTTTTTTAAAAAATATCTATAGAGGATATCTGGAACAGGGATCTAACACCAAGTTATCAGAAAAGTGATGGCTTTGGTAATTGTTGCTTTTATACTCTTTCCTTTTCTAGTTGTGATTACAAGCAGTCAGCTCCGAATTCTTCCTGTTGTTAATTTAGAGGCAACTTGCAAAACCTTTTCCCTTCCTACTGTGATGTTCTTTCCTTCTCTGCTTTTTGGTTCTCTCCATTCAGACTCCTGGAGGTGTTTATTAAAAAGAGAAGGGAAAAGATAATTTATTTTATCTTTTTTACTTTTGCTGCTGTCTTGTAGTTCTGAAGGTTTGATGGAGTTGGAGGTTGAATAGCAAAATTTCAAGAATAGAGCTTGGTTTCATTTACATGGGGATAGATAGTTACGTTCTTTCGATGAATGAAAGTTTTTGTAGTCTACATAAGCTGTTTCTTGTTTGGAGTGTCATTCAGTATTCTGGATTTCTCTCCAAACTGAACTTGGAGCTTATCTCATTTTCATTTGTTTAGGTCAAATGTGCTGTTCTAATACTTCCTCCTCCCTTCATGCAATTTCAGGAAAATGTTTGTAGGTGGCCTCAGTTGGGACACAAGCAAAAAGGACTTGAAAGATTATTTCACCAAGTTTGGTGAGGTGGTTGATTGCACGATAAAGATGGATCCTAACACAGGAAGATCAAGAGGTTTTGGGTTTATCCTCTTTAAAGAATCTGCAAGTGTTGATAAGGTAAGAAATATATAACATACAGAAATAAATGTATCAAGTATCAAACACTATTTGTTAGTCACTGTTTACTGCTACTTTGGGGGTTTCAAAGAAGCCTCAGACACAGCCCCCTGCCCTTGAGATCACCATCCAACTGGGGACGGCATTTACATATATAAAAAGAGGTCTGTGGGTGAGATTAAAAACCCAAAAGACACTAAACTCTGTAAAAGTTTAAGGGGGGAGGGAAGCTCAGGCACAGAGTACAGGTCCTGAATAAGCGTTGTTGAACAGTTGAATATTGGAAGAGATATTCAAAAGTAACTCTTAAGGGACGGGTCTTGTTGCTTCTTAGGCACTTTTGTCCTAATTTCTATTATAGTTATTTGGGTACTTGTTTCGTCCTTCCTGTTATATTCAAGAGTACGATTTATACCCTTAGTAGGTACTCCTAAATTTGTAGTTGAACAAATAAAAGACTGAGAAGAGAAAGTGAGGTGGTGAAGGTGGCTAAAATGAAGAGCCTTTACTGAGGAAAATGCTGTTGAATAAGGCTAGAAAGGGAAGGTAGGGTGGGGGTCAGGTTATAAGAGACCTAGAATATAGTGGATTAACACTTTTCCATTGCTTAGAGGATAAAGCCCAGTTATAAAAGCAAAAATGACAGCTAGAAGAGGATTTAAAGACCATCTACTCTTGACTTTGTTCCCCCTTCTACCTTATTCCATATGAGGAAAATTGGCTGGGGGGGTGGGCGGGCGGGAACAGACCCTTGCTTGAGATGCCACAGGTAATTACAGAGCTTAGAACCACAAATGATTGCCAAGCCATTTCACACTCTCTCGAGTCTTCTCTCTTTCAATTGAACTCAACGTATTTTGGGTACCTACTATATGCAAACCACTGTGTGGGGGTAGGAGGATGGAGAGCAGAATACAAAGATAAAAAATGATTCCTTTTCTGAATTAGCTTGCCTTCTACTTGGAAATAGAGCATATACAAAGGTATATGTTCTTTGTTTTAAGTCTTCATTTCTGGCCATTAGTTCTTATTGTTAGGAAAAACTTTCTGGCCACCTGATGATTCAGTCCTATTAAATAAGAATTTATTAAGCACCGTATGCCAGGCAGTGGCCTAGGAGCACTGAATTTAAGTCCTTCCCCTCTAGGAGCTTACATTCTATGTAGAGATAAAGATAAAAACCATGGGAGTAGTCTTCAGAAAGCTAGAGAAGTAGGAAGGCTGAGGAGAGAATTTGATCTAATGGAGTAAGCAGTTTCAGTAAAGTTTTTGAGGACAAGTTAAATGACAGGATGGGGGGGTGGTTCAGAAAGTAGTGAAGTTACTACCAAGTCTAGAGAATGAATAGGAAAGTAGAAGCAAGAACTTAATGTTCTTACTTGGGGGGAGGGGCTTAGAGAGATAATTGGAATTCAAGAGTTTTCATAAAGGAACAAGGGCACAGACACAGATGAAGGAGTTAGTTTGGGGTAAAAGGAGGGCTGGCCATCTCATTGTTTGAGATATATTTTTAGATATGAAGAGAAAAGGAGATGAAAACAGATTAATGCAGCTCTTAATCTTAGTAAAACAGGAATCAAGGTTTATTGATGAGAAAAGTTGGGAGCTTGGGGTGGGTGATAGAAGGTATCTCCTGGATTTCCTCATACTTCTCTAGTCTACTCACCATCTTATTCTTGATTATGTAAGGTGGAAGATTCTTTGTGGGGCTAGGCCAGGAACTTCTGAGTGAAATAGATATGAACCTTCCAGGAATTTAAATTTTCTTCTCAAATATTTCCAGGTTTTGGATCAGAAAGAACACAGATTAGATGGACGGGTAATTGATCCCAAAAAAGCCATGGCCATGAAGAAAGATCCTGTGAAGAAGATCTTTGTTGGAGGACTTAATCCAGAAGCTACAGAAGATAAAATCCGGGAGTACTTTGGAGACTTTGGAGAGGTGTGTGTCTAACAGACTAACTCTACACTCAAATATCCAGGTAGAGAGGAAGGGGCTATTATTAGTCTCCGCTGGAAGTCTAGTCCAACTAACTGATTATCTGCTGTATAACATTTTGGAAATGGGCTCATAGAGTGGCTTCTGCTTGAACTTTAGTTATATACTTTTGGAGAACTTTTTTAGTTGTTTGGAAGCATCAAAGTGTATTAGAAAGATCTCTAGACTTCGAGCTATGAGACTTGAGTTTGAGTGTTGGCTCTGATATTTACTTGTTATATGACTTGAGTGATCGATCGACTTAGATTCTCTGGGACTGATTTTTCCTCATCTACAAAATGGGGCTATTTAATGCTGTTGGAGTTAAGTTTTTTGCCAACTATAAAATTGTGTGCTGAAATCTGCCTGTGTAATTTGTGCCAATCATTTTGTTTTGGTCTCAAAGAATACGATAACTAAGAACAAATATGAATCCTCTTTGATATGACAGCCTTTCAGTCCCTCTTGAAGACAACTTTATTCTCTTCCCACCCCTGCAGTCCTTGTAACCTGTCCCTTTCTCCAGTCTTCATATTAAAGATCCTCAGCTCTTTCAGCTTATGTGGCATGATGAATCCCCTCAGCATCTTGGTCATTCTTCCTTGGATGTGATACACACTTTAGTTTACTGAAAATGTCATTCCTAAAATGTATCCTGAGCAGAATATAATAATCCAGGTGTGGGCTGAGCCAGAAAAGAGGACAGTAAATAGGTCTAATACTCTAAATGCTGTTTTTATTAGCAAAACCATCCTCTTTTTCACGTGTACTATTCTCGAGCCATATCTTTCCCATTGTTTACTTAAAAATCAATTGCATGTTACCCATATTCAGTTAAATCCTGATTCTGTCATCACAGTATATTAATTCTATCCATGGATCATAGCTATATTTGATGAACTTTCTATCTCTGCTTTCATTCAAGCAATTTATAAACATGTTGAACAAAATGAAGCCAAATAAACACATTTAAAACACCTTGTTTTTTTTTAAAAAACCAAAGTTGTTATTATAGAAATCTTTTTTAGATTTTATATTATGGGTATTTTGTACATAAAACCTCAAATTTAAGTAGCTTGCTAAAGGCTGGAGTCAGACTTTATATCTGAGGAATTCATTTTGAGTTCTGATGTGCCATGTTTCCAGATTGAATCTATCGAACTTCCAATGGATCCAAAGACAAACAAAAGAAGAGGATTTGTATTCATCACCTTTAAAGAAGAAGACCCTGTTAAGAAGATTTTAGAAAAGAAATTTCATAATGTCGGTGGAAGTAAAGTAAGAAATCTGGATTTATACCTAGAGGAGTATTGCTTTTCTCCTAGGGGACTGCTGCTATTCTAGACTTGCCTCGATCTAGTCATTAATGTTTGCCTTGTACTTAAAAGGCTCTGGGGTTCTGTCACTTCAATCACTGGCTATTGGATAAATTCCCCACTTGCCAATTAAGGCTTTCAAACTCTTTAATTAACAGCAGTAGATGAGGATATGAGCTTATCCTTCTAGTATTTACTGAGCATCTCTTATGTGCCTAGGTTTGTGTTGGGTGAATGTCTGAGATGAGAATCTAGTCCCTAAAGCACTTGTCTTACGACTCTTCAAGCAGCTTAAAGTCTTTCTGGGTAGATAAGATATGCATGGTTCTATTTCATGTGTTAAGACTAAATGGTTATCAAACCTCCCATTCTCTTCCCCCCAAAAAAATAAAAAAGGGAAGGAAAGCACAAAGCACAGCATGGGCTAGGGGAAGATTTATTTGCAGAGGTGAGTTTGAATTGATATTCCTTAGAAAAGAGGGCAATTCCATGTTTTTGGATCATCCGATCAAGAGCCTAAAGGCAAGAATTAATAAGCATGGCACCATCCAGTGCTGGATGAGTGGTCAATGTTGAAGCACCAGGAGGCAAGGCTGGCTGAGTAGGTTGGGCCCAGGAATCACTGAATGGGTATTTTTAATGTTAGATTGCCTGAGGTGTGCAGTACAGAGAATGGTAGAAGCAGTCATGAAGATTTAGGTGAGGGTCTAGACTAGGGGTATGGCCAGCAATCAGTGACAATTCCTACTATTAAATCATTAATGAGTCAGTCTAACCAGTATAGAATTTTAGAACAGGAAGAAACCTTGGGGATCATTCAGTCTGGGGTCCCCAAACAGTATGTTGAGATCCTTCATTCTCCATTTGCTAAGGCTTTTGTTAAGAGTCTCAAGAAGAGAAGCAGAGCCTTTCATTGCTATTGAACTGTGACTTGGTTGCATCAAAGTACTATTGAATTTGAAGGAAAATGCTCCCCTAATAGTTGTTTTGGGCAGGGGGAGATTTTTGGTGCTAATCTGAGCCCCTCATTTTACAGATGAGAACTTGAGCTTCAGAGTGGGTGAGGTCCCACTCTGGTCCCAGAGTGAGTTAGGGGCAGAGTTAAGCTGAATAATAAATGTTCTTTAACCTGGATTAGGTGAGTCCTTAAGGCCTGGAGGTCCATGTCCAGTAGAAATTTGATGCAGGTACCTGCCTCTTGATTAATGGCCCACATCTTATTTTGGAAGATGTGTTGGATTTCAAGACCTAGATTCCTATTAAAATGTCATGGCTTGAGAACCATCAGAGTTGATGGCTTCTGACTATGCCACACCTTTTCCCCTATCAAGGGGAAGAAAGAGGTATCATTAGTCCTCTGAAGCTATTTAATCTGAATTCTTGAGTATGTTCTTTCCATTTATGTTATTGTGGTCATTGTATGTATTCTTTGGGTTCTACCTTATTTGCTCTGTATCATTTCACACTATTCCATGTTTCTCATTGAAATTCTCAATCATTTCTTAAGGTACAGTAATTCTATTGCATTCGCATACTGGCTTATTCAGCCATCCCTTAATCAGTGGGCAACCACTTTGTTTCCAGCTTTTTATCAAAAAAAATGTTGCTATGAGCACTTTGGTAGGTAGGTATGTATATGGCCCACTGTGATTTTTGCCATATATCAAGCGTGGTGTCAACCCCGAGCTCTACAGAAGGTACTTAGCAGCAGCCTTGCAGTATTAAAACCAGATGTATTAACATGAGTCCAGCTGGGCTTTGTAGATAAGGAATCCCTTGGGCTCCTTAGCACCCTGGCTCAATCTGTCCAAATCTTTGGAATACCCCTCACCGCTAATGTCAAGAACCCTCCAGGGAAGCCTTCCTTAATGACTGTAGCCACTGCCAATGAGCTGGTCCTTCTTTTGGAGGCTTAAATCATTTTTTGTGCAGATAAGGAACACACACTCAACATAACTGCTTTCCCCTAGGAAAACAACAGCTTTGGTTTTGGTATCCTTGTTTTCTGGGCAGGTGACTTGACCTGTTAAGCTGAGGTAGTTTGACCTTGCGTATATGCCCTGGTTCTCATTTGTGGAGAATCAGAAAGGCCTCTGATTGCTCTGGTAGCAGATAGTTGCGTTGATCCAAAGGCTTCTGGCCATATCTGTGGAACTTTATTCAATAGACGACTTGAGTTCTTTAGACAAGACTTTCACTATCAGGGATAACTTATTTGATAGGGTCACATTTGGTTGTTGCCTACTGGAGAAAAAGTGCAAATGCTCACTATTTCAGAGCTTGATTTGTGTTTTCCTTTTTCCTTTCAGTGTGAGATCAAGGTGGCCCAGCCTAAAGAAGTGTACCAACAGCAGCAGTACAGCTCGGGGGGCAGCCGAGGAGGCCGGAGCCGAGGGAGTAGAGGATCTGGAGGTGGCGGCGGAGGCAGTGGAAGTGGTGGCAGTGGAGGCAGTGGAGGGGGAGGTGAGTGAGACATGGATGCCACTCAGACTTCCTAGCAAGGCAGCTTTCTCTGGAGTCTGCGTTAGAGCTGTAGCTGAGGCCATGACAGAATCCTGGAGTAAGATGATGGCCCTTCCTGCCTCTGGTCTTCAGTTTTTGGCATGAGGCTTTTTTAGTTTATGGTGTTGCCTCAAGTTCTGGATTTTTGCCCTGTTTCCTGCAACATCAAGAACCATGAGGCTCTTGGTGTGGTGGTGGGAGGGAATGATGGAATGTCAGTTGTGTGTCCAGTTTGATGATGGGGGGCCATCATACTGGAGCCATAGTGAGATTCAGTCATTGAAAGTGTGGGGTAAGGGAAAGAAAGGAGAGTAGGGGAAGAACTGGCTCAAAAAAATTAGAAAAGGGACCATTATGCTGCAACTCCCCTTCACTTAAGGTAATTTGCTCCTGATGTGAAGCTTCTACCATGGACAAGGCACTGCAGGGATAACTGGAAAAGGAATGTTAAAGATAATTCAGTTTTGCCCCTATGATAACAGATGAGACAGGTCCAGAGAAGAGAAGAAAGTGATTTGCCCAAGGTCATGCAGGCATAGCTAGGATAGAGGATCTGTTTACAGTTCCATGCCTCATGGCCTTTTCCTACTTTTATTGTTGTTCAGGCTCTCCTCCCTTTCCTAAAATGCCTTCTCCACTTACCTAACTCATGTGCATCTTTCACAGAGAAAGGTGGGACTATTTTGCCTTGAAGTGTTTACTATCCATTACCCGCCATTCTTAAAAGTTATAAGCTGTAGTTCTTGTTTGCTTTACAGCTCTACTGAGGACAGCTGGTCAGCATCCTCTTTTATTTGAAGGTCATTATTAAATTGGACGCTCAGCCTTTTGTTTCTCTCAAATTGGTTTCCTATGGTATAATTTTATAAAACTTGGGCCTACACTAAATTGTAGCTGCAGTAGCCAGTGTCAGCTGCTTTCCTTGATTTTGGCTTTGACATCCTTAATGCTGCTTTATCACTCTATAGCTTCCTGACTTTGGGTTAGGTTTGTCTTTTCCTAACTAACCTCATAAGTATACTATGTATGGTGCAGGTGAAAATTAGATCATTTCAAAAATGTAAGGAATAAAGGAAATTGTCAATTACTTAGCCCCTTCTCAGAACTAAGGAGATGTTATAGCATAGTATGGGAATTGGAATTCAGGGAATTAAAAGTTGAAGAGCCATAGGAGAGTGGATTTAAAATCAAGATAGGGATTTTTTTTGACCATGGGCAAGTCCCTTTCCCTCTTTTGGAACCTGCTTCCTCTTTAATGAGGGAGCTCTACTAGATCATCTCTAAGTTTCTGGTAGTCTGAGTACCAGTTTGTAGGTCTATTCCCAATCCCATAACACCATTTAAAGTCCCCTGATGCCTCATCATGGTGTTAAAGGTGAATCTGGGTTCTTTGAGGTGATGCCAGAAAAGTTTGAACTGGCAGCTTTGATTAAGCTATAAAAGGCTTCAGTTTTGGAGCCAGCCATGTGTACTGTATGTTTGTCTGTGGACCAGTACTGCTAAGAATGGAGAGATTCATCGCCTAGGCTGGCCTTTGGGATCAGTGAAATTTTTGGTCACAGCAACTCTTGAGGACCAATTACAGAGGATTGTGGTCTGTGTTGATGGAGAGTTTGGGCTGACAGGTCAGATTCTTGAGGTAGACATTTCAAGCTTTCTTCATCCCTTTTAGGCTTTGAGCAGGCTAAAGCTGGACATGGCATTCTAGTCTGACCCTCCTTGTTACAAGGTGGCTTAATAAAATTAATGGCAGGCTTGGGACTCAAACTTATGCTAGCATTCTTTGGACTGTACCATGCTTCCTTCATTCTTTAGTAGGATCTGATGTGTTAAGACTTCCTAAATTGATAATTAATTCTACTGTGCTGGGGGGACAGTGTCTGTCCACCGTCTGGCATTATTGATGTTTAGGGTTAATTACCCATTTGGACAGTCTTAGGCACACATACCTACGTATCTTCTGTACAGTGTTACTGATTCTTAAGCAGGATCAGTGTGATATTGGTACTCTTAATGCAAGTACAGTTTTGGGTTGAAAAAGCCTGTATGGAGAGGTTGCAGGAATTCCTCTCTTGGGCAAACTTGGTCAGAGGCATGGTGCTGCAGGCAGGTTGGTATGCCTTGGTCCCTTTTTAGCTTCCCTCTTTACATGGGCTAAACAGAACCCTGGGCCTTGCTTCCTCTGCAGCTCAAAGTCAAAATTGGAATCAAGGTTATGGCAACTATTGGAATCAGGGATATGGCAACCAGGGCTATGGCTATCAGCAAGGCTATGGCGGTTACGGCGGCTACGACTACTCCCCTTATGGCTATTACGGCTATGGACCAGGCTACGACTATAGTAAGTAAAGACCAGTGTGGGGTAGAGCAAGCAAGTGTCCTGTGCCGGGCTTCTTTAATCAATCTGTAATGTTTTCTTTGTAGGTCAGGGCAGTACAAATTATGGAAAGACTCCAAGGCGTGGTGGTGGTCATCAGAATAACTATAAGCCATATTGAGGCAGTCCTGTGCGGTATGCAGCGGCATGCTCAGTGTTCAGAGGGACTGCACACGTTTTATACGGAAATGCTCTAGGTGGACATTAAAATTATGTACCAAATTTAACTTTGCAAACTTTCTATGGCCTGTTCAATGTGCATCTTATTTAAAATTCCCCCTTGGAAAATGTCTTTCATGTTGAATATTTACAGATCTCTAGTTGTCTTAGACAGTGTGTGGTGTGTAAATGCCAGTCTTAAGCAAGATATTAATGAATGAATTTATTAATAGGTTAAACAGCAGTGATTTTGAGGGTCTGCTTAAAGTCCAGCTCAGCCTCTTGGCTTGAGCATGGCCTCTGCAATGCTCTGGTTGTACAGATGAAAATGCCTCCTTTTTTTCACCTTTTTATTTTATATTGTTTGTGTCATACATTTCCGGCAATGGAAGTGTTAATTTTACTGTACTTTTTGGTACCTTTTGGGAATCTAATGTATTGTAAGGTATTTTACATGTGTCCTGATTACCATGACATGGATATTGAAGCTATCCTAGCTTTTGAAATAAAAAATTAACAAAAAACACACCCCAAACCAGCTAGTGTGCCATTTCTTAATCTTCCAGCTTTTAAAAGAATATAGACAGATCTCCCTGACATCTGACCACACCCGTCTGCTCATCCTGGGGGCATTTGGGAGTCTGTTTCAGGGACTAGGATAGTCTCCCACTACAGCAATTGTCCTTAAGGCAAGAGTCATTGTGGGGCCAAAGGTTAGGTATACAACTTGAACAGATAAATGACATGTTTTAATTTTTTTTTAAAAAATTAAAAAATATATATAGGCATTTCATGGTAGTTTCAATTGTTGGAAGCAAATTTGGACATTTTCAAAACATTCCATTGAGGAAGACATTTAGGTCTTCAAGCTTAGTGTAAGACCAGAGCAGAGTTAAGTTGTTTGCCCTAAGGCAAATCGTAGAAACCATTGTTATATTTTCATCTTCCCTATTATTTTCTTTTCTGACCTTAATGGGACATTTTCTAACCACTTTGACCCAGCGTCTGACTTTAATAGAGTGTGGTTATGTATACCTAAAAATGTTTGTATGGGACATTCGGAAGTATGGGTCTCACTAGCTCCCTCTGCCTTCCAGTGTATAGAAACAAACACTTTGGTTTTTAACAGGTCCAATCCACGTTACAAGGTAAATTGTGAATGGGTTGAGTTTAAATTTCTTCTTATCTTGGCTGTCAGGGCTCCCCTCTTCACCTTTCAGAATAGTCTTTTTGAACCTAAAAGTAAAAAGGGACAAGGTCAGGGCAAAAAGGTGGCTTTCAAATGATTGGCCAGTAATAAGACTTAACTTATTCCCTTTATTTGGACTGGTGAACTTTTATCACTCACTTCACTTGGCAAGTTTATCCTATAGCTTTATTCAGATAGACCCTTTTAATGAAAACATTAATACATCAAGTGAAACCATCCCTTGAACAGCCAGATGCTTCCTGAGGTTGGAGAGACAATGATTTATCTATGTAGCTATAGGTAATGTAGTTCAAGGTGGAAGTAGAGAAAGCTAGCCAGAAGAAAGATTGCTATTGGCTTAGGGTCAAATGGAAGACTTTGCCAGTAACACCTTGGGGAGGGTTCTAGACAATCTTAATGTTGTCATCTATAAAAATAGGGGGTTGGACTAGATGACCTTATCTAATCCACAGTCCTCTTCCATTCTTAAATTCAAACAGATTTTCCTGTTTTCATGAAAACAGCAGAAACTGTACTGCTTCAGGATTTGATCCAGTCTTGGTTGGGACAGAAGTCCTAGGTCTTCCCATCAGGGTGACCACAGGGCACTGTTGGTCTCCACTTAGTCATAACACATTAACATAACACTGCCCAGTTTTGGCCAGAGAGCCACTTTGATTTCTGTTCCTAGGCTTTAGATGAAGTTGATTGGAACCCTAACTACTTTCATGTACGTGGGATGTTTGTGCATTGCCCCACTTCCTGGCAGGGCATGCCCTCCACTCCCCCCCATTCCTATAACCATGATAGGCAAGGAAGACAACAAGTGGGGCCCGAATGAATATTTACAAATGGGAGTGGTAGGGACTCCATCCCAGATGTTGCTCAGACTTAATAAAGTATTCACAAATGCCTGCTAGATAAGAAATTTTTCAGTAGGTGTAGGACACAGATCCCTAACCCTAAGGGGGGGGGGTGTACAAAATAGTAGCCCTTGTCAGCTCTTTTGTGTGGGCTAAAAGGTGTTTTAGAATTATGAGGGCAGCTCTAAAGTGCAGTGAGGGGCCTCAGTAAATGATCTGCTAGGATGAAAGCCACAAGAGTTGAGTCTCAAAAGAACCACACTCACCCAGGGTTGCCAGGTCACTGGGGACATTGAAGGGTTTCACAGCTTCTCATCTTCTCCTCCATTTCTGGGGATATAGAACGAGGTCAGCTAACATGCAGAACTGGTTAAGCTTTCAAGTTATAAGTGGTTGGGGCTGGTGGGGAGTAAGAAAGGAAGTGGGTATGTGGTAAATGAATAAATGAGCCCATTTAATTGGGGGATTTGGGAATTACACAGTAAGTTAGTTCCCTCCTCACATCAATGTGAGATAGCCCCGGAAACAGACTGACCTGAAACTAATTCCCCATGACCAATAGGTCTGTCTGGGAATGTTTTCTACTCGATCTAGAGGCTTCTATCCCACAGTAATCTCTATTTGCCAGTGGCATAATAACCACTAGCATTTATATAGCGCTTTAAAGTTTGCAAAACACAAATACCTCATTTGATCCTAATGTAGGTGCTATTAACCCCATTTTACAGATGAAACTGAGGAAGTTAAGTGACTTGCCCCTGGGTCTTCCAGACTCCATCCACTGCACTACAAGTTTTCCCAACTATGCTGTGAGCTCCATTGCAATTTGATGTCCAAAACAGTAGGGGCATAAAAGACAAGTTGAATTTTGGGTGGAATTAGAATTCACTTGGGGAAATAACAAGATGTTCTTTAAAGATGCAAAGCTATCTTGGCATATTAAGATAAATCTAGGTCTTCCACTAGAGATTTTAGGAGCTAGAGACAGTGGGTTTCCTTTAACCCTGTTATCAACTCAGAAGTGATACTAGACCTAAAGTCCACAGAAATTCCTTGTGTGTGCCCCTCACCTCCTGGGCAGCAGGACTAGCCTATCCCTTGAGAACCCAACCATCATGCCCAGCAGTAGGTGAGTTTCAAGAATGAGGATACTACTGCCTGAAAATCAAGTCATGCAAAATGAGGTTTTGTTTGCAGGTTCCCCAGTTTCTTCAATAAATACTGAATAACTACCAAGTGTGGTGACTTAAATAACTACTGGCCAAAGTCTCACCTGTTAAAATTGTGTCAAGTGTGTTCACAACTATTCTGGCATTGTCCATGTTGAAGCACATTGGAGGCTTAAATTTCAGGACATTTCTTCCGGGTCCATCAGTGCTCAACAAAATACAGGCATCTTTTAACCTGGAAGAACAAAATGATCTGAGAAGGCAAGCTGTTGAAGTTTTGCTTCTCTTTCAGAAGATGATTGAGTGGCCTAAAGGCAACAGTCTTCTCACACCAGCCTGGTTCTGAAACGAGGGCAAAGGCTACAGAGAACATTTCCTATGTCAGCTTCCCATATGGTCTGTCCTGAACCCATGCGAGTAGTGGGCAGAGTATTTGTCCTTTGCTTTCCTTCTATTCCCTTGATGGTAGGGAGGATGGAGAAGGGAGGAAGGGGAGATTGTCCTAGTCCCATGCTCATGCAATATCCAGTGATGCAGGGTTCAGTTTTGCAGTCTCATCCCAGCAATGGGTGTTCCTCTGAGGAGGAAGCTCCAGAGATTATGTCCAGACCTGAGGACACCTCACAGTTTAACACATAGCTAGGGGTTTGTTTGCAAGATCAGATGACAGTGGCACAACTCAGGTTCTAAATATTTGGCCAGATATCATTCCCCCTCAATCCACAAAAACTGAAGTACTTTGGGGGAAAGGTCAACTCCCCTGGAGTGAGGGCGGTTTCAGGTTTTGAGATACAGCCATCACGTGGGAGCCATCTTGTTTAATCAAGGGTGAATTGAGTGAAGGACAAGACATATTTTGCTTGATTCGGGTAGGGTTGTATGGGTATTGCTAGCTTCTACATATAGGAGTCTATAGGGTTATAGCTAGAGCTGGAAAGACCTCAGAGGCCTAGACTAACCTCATTAAACAGTTGAGGGGACTCCAGCTAAAGTGACCTACATAGGGAATGAGTAGCAGAGTTGGATTTGAACCCACATCCTTGTATTCCAAGGAATTACTCATCACTTTTCCCCTTGTAGTATGTTATTTCCTAAGGCTAATGTTAATTCCCATTAGAATGTAAGGGTCCTGATGGAAATTCATGAAATCCCGAGAGCTAGATAAAGCAGCATGGTACAGTTAGTTGATAGAATCAGCCTTGGAGTCATTGAAACCTGGGTTTGAGTCTCATCTCTCACACATCCTGGCTGTGTGACCCTAAACAAATCATTTAAACCTCTGCCTTGCCCCCAGATAACTCTAAGACTATGAAGTTAAGGAGAAAGTGGTTGATCTACACTGGGAGAGGAAATTCCTCAGTGAGAGCTAGCAGTACCAATATAATCACAAATCAGGTAAAACCTGCCCCGCGCCCCCCCCCCCCTTTTTGTCCAGAAGGCTGAAAATGTTTACCAGATGCTTTGGGGTCTGAAGTAGGTTTCTGAGAAGGGAACAGAGCAGCTGTTTCATAGCACAGGGTTCTAAATTGGTAGTGCTGTAAGTTATTACCAGTGACCTGAAAGGTCCTGTCCATTGCAAACTCTTGGGGCCAGGGGAAAAAAGTATTTTTGGAGAGTTAGTTTTAGGAGCACTGAGAGGGTTGCTTCCCTTATGTTTATATTCTGTATATTCTTCTTTATGTATGTGTAATCTCTCCCATTAGAATGTAAGCTCCGTGAGGGCAGGGTCTGTTTCTTGTTTGTCTTTGTATCCCCAGAATCTAGCCTATAGTAGGTATTTAATAAATGCTTGTTGGTTGGTTGATGAGTTGATTCTGAACATTCAGTCGGATCCCAGTTCAGGTATGGGATGAAAAAGTGTCCATTGAAAACTGACTAGCCCCAGTCCCAATCTCCAGGAGGACGATTTGTGTGCTCCTGACAGGGAGCTCATAGAAGGAGCTCTCCAGAACAGCAGCTCACAGTGGTTCTTAGGTGCTGGTCCTGATTTGTCTTGCTCTTGCCTGTGGGGCCCGTAGTACACACATACTGAATTCTCCCCTGGTCCCCAAATTACTTTTATTTCTGCCTTTTTCCTTTTAAATGCCAGATTCTTGGGGCAGCTAGGTGGCGCAGTGGAGAGAGCACTGGCCCTGAAGTCAGGAGGACCTGAGTTCAGATCCGGCCTCAGACCAAACACTTGACACGTACTAGCTGTGTGAACCTGGGCGAGTCACTTAACCCCAATTGCCTAAAAGCAAAAACAAACAAACAAACAAAAAAAACCCCACCAGATTCTTTCCTAAGCTGCTCCTTTTCCAAACTTTTCCTTCATACCTTGAATTTCTTGCAGAGGCAACAGGCTGGGAGCTGACAGAGAGAGGAGGGCCCTTCCCAATCAGGGACCCCATGGATGCTGGGTTGGGTGTAGGAAGATATTTTTCAGTTTTTACTTTTGTTTTTATACCACCTCATTTGTAAATCATCCCTACCCAGAGAACCATCCCTTGTAAGGAAGAATACAAAAGAGGGGGGGAAAGGTCAGCAAACCTAACCAACAGATCAAATGAGTGACATGTGCAATGTGCCCCCAACCCATGGTGCCTTCACTTCCTCAAAGAAGTAAAGGAGGTCCATCTTTTCCTCTCTTTTGGGGAGCAAGACTGCAGATGCAGGAAGATATTTTAAAGGGGGAGGAAAAAATAACCTACGTACCTAGAAACCAAATAGTCAGCTTCCTCTGTGGCTGGTGTCCTTGTTGCCTCATCTTTGATTAGATCTACACCAATGAACAATCCAGCACCCCTGGAAAAAACAGCATTTTATCTGACTGAATGCTTGGCTCCCCTGTTCCTTGTTGGAAGACAGAGTATGGAATTCAGTTCACATCTCTTGAAAAAAGTATTGAATGAGTTTTTTAAGCCCTGTGGTACATAGGATCATAGAACTATAGCTGTGGAAGACCTCAGAGGCTATGTCTAGGCCACCCCCTTCATTTTACAGGTGAGGAAATTGAAGCTCAGGGAGCTTATGACTTGCCCAAGGTCACAAGTGTCAGAGGCAGGATTTGAACCCAGATCCTCGAGCTCCAGAACACTGCAATGATGATTCTCCTCTAGGGATGGCAGGAAGATTCCACTGGCTTGCCCAGGTCTGCCCCCCAAGAAATGAGGAAGCCCATAATAATAATAGTTCTAATAACTAACATCAGGCCCAGTGGCAAGGAACCTTTCCATCTAGATCTCTTTGGTGGTAGAAAGGGTTAGGGATAAGCAGCTTTAGAGAAGGGACAGGAGGGCAGTTCTGTGATAGGAAGATTAGGTAACTGGGTGACCCGGTCTTTGTGTGCTCTGCTCAGGGGTTAGGGCTGTGGAGAAGGTCCTGCCTGTTCTCCAGAAGAGTGTCCAAGACCAGGGTTGAGGGCCAAACCATCCAACTGACCTGACATCACCAATGATAGGATGCTTGGCCTTCTGCTGGTTCAGCAGCCCCATGAGGAAGTCTCCCACATGGGCAGCATGGGCCTGGAGGTGCTCCTTTTCTAGAACGTCCAGGACCGCCAAACCCACTGCACAGGAAACAGGACTTCCCGCAAACTGAGGCCAAGAGATGAGGGATAGCAATCAGGGCAGACAGCCAATGAGGAAAAGGCAGGGTGTTGAAGGCAGCGGACAGAGGACGTCTTGAAGGTGGGGTTCAGTGGCAGAGTGTGTGTGAGGTATTTGGAGAAAATGAATCTATCTGCTCTCTTTGGATTAAAATAGGGTTCCAGTAAGAGGCAAATAGGAGATAATGTCAGAAACCAATTCCCTGCTGGACATTTCAAACTGGATGTTCTGGAGACACCTCAAGCTCAGCACGTCCAAAACAGAACTCAGTATCTTTTCCCCTCCCAACTCTCCCTCTTCCAAACTTCCTTGTCTAAGGCACCATCATCCTTCCAGTGTCCTGGGTTTGTAACCTCGGCGTGAGCCTTGACATCCTTCCTTCCCTCGCCCCTACAAAGCCAGTCCATTTCCAGACCTTGTCGTTTCTGTGACCTCTGAATCTGACTCCTCTCCACCCACATAGCTAACCTTAGTGCAGATGCTCTTCCCCTTTCACTTAGATAACTTCCTACACGACTGCTTCCATAAGTGAGAACAGTGACTCAGTGTGACTAAAATCACCTTTACTGACTACTAGGATAAAATTGAAACTCCTCTCTTAAACACCCCTTCATAACCTGGCCCCAGCCTACCTGTCCAGCCTCATTGAACCTCAAACTGACCTTGCTATTGCCCAAACATGATCCTCAACCCCAATTTCCATGCCTTTGGCCTGGCCGACCCACATGTCTGGAATTAACTTCCTCCTTATCTTCTACCTTTAAATGTCAACCCAAACACCGCCTTCTGCATGACACCTTTCTCGATTTCCCAACTACTAGTGCCCTCCCTCCCAAGCTATCTTATATTTTATTTTGTATTTATTTGTATTTATTCACTTTGTGTTTATGCTGCATATATATTTATATATATACTTGTTTCCCTATTAGAGTGGAAGCTCCTTGCGAGTAGGGACTGTTCATATTCTTCATACTTGTATTCCCTAGAGCTCAGCATAGCACCTGGCATATAGTAGGCGCTTAATAAATATTTGTTGATTGATCGATTGAAAGGTAGGTTGGTCTCTTCAGTCTGTCACTAAGACCTGCGGTTTTGTTGTTTGGAATGCCTTGGTATCCACCCCAACCCCTCCATTCCCATTTCTGCCACCCTGGTCCAAGTGCTCATCTCACAGCTTGCATGACCCATGGCTTCCCAGTTGGTTGACTGCCTCCAAAAATTCGGCCGGACTCATCATCCCCAAATGCCACTTTTGGAATAGAAGCAATTCAGGGCAATGGTTAGAGTGCTGGGCCCAGAGTAATTAGCAAGACTTGGGTCCAAAGACTACCCCAGACATTACTGGCTGTTTGATGCTGGGCAAGGCACTTCACCCTCTTTCAGCCTCAGTTTTCTCAGCTCTAAAATGGGGATAATAGCACCTACTTCACAGGGTGGTTGTGAAGATCAATTGAAAAAAAATGTGAATTGCTTTGTTAACCTGGAAGTGCTATCTATGGATGCCAGCACTACGTAAATGGGAGATATTTTGATGCATATGCCACAGTTCCCATTCAACTATACTAGTGCTACCCTACTTTAGGCCCTGGAGAACTTGGTCTCTCCTTGGCCTCTTACATCTGCTCCTCACAGGGAGCTTGGTCTGTGCCTTGAACCTTGGTGTGAACCTGTGTGCCTTTTAGTGAAGTGCTCAAACTCCTGCCGAGTCTGTTTTCTCATTTGTGGAATGATCATCTCCGACATTCCAGATTCCATGATCCTTTGCACTTCCCATGTGCTGCTTGCTGTGGTCCTCTGCACTCTCCTTCCCCTCCATCCAGGCTCATCAGGCCCTAAACGTCCACCCCCACCTTGAAGCCTCGTCTAGATTCTAGGCCACCCCCTTGGTGAGACTTTCTGACATCATTGTTATCAGATTAGGGTCTGTACCACTCTATGGAGCACTGAATCATTCTCCGGTCATGGATCTAACTGCAGTCTCCATGAAGGCAGGGACAGTCTCCTGTCTTCCTCCTCTGCCCACTACAAAGCTTGATTCAATGCTGGACGAGGAGCAGGACTCAGTTACTTAATCCCTGTCACCAGTCCTTCTAGGGAAAGCAAGGGATGCTTGCAGATGGATTAGTTTTTCTTTTAAACTAAATATTTTGCTGGTACTATTTAAAAAAAAATATGGCTGTCACCAGGTAGCTCCTCCTCTTCCTCTCCTTACATAGAACACCCTTACAACAAATACGGCCAAACCAAATTCTGCACCTGTAGTCCACCACGTGGTCTCTCTGCTTAGAGAAAGGAGACATGCTTTACCTACAGTACCATGAAGTCACAATTAATCCTGTCATTGATCAAAACTCTGATTGCCTCTGATGCTGTTTTCCTTTGCATTGTTGTAGTCAATGGGTAAATCATTCCCCTGGTTCTGCTCACTTTTTGCTTTGCACTAGTTCATACAAGGCTTTCTGTGATTCTCTCCTTATTCCTTAAAGTCATTGTTTCTTAACACCCAATACTATTTCAATTATTTACCACAATTTGTGCAGTCATTTAAGTGGGCTGTTTTCCAAAGTTGAGCTATGCCAAGCCCTCAGTATAAGGCTGTTCTCAGGGTAAATACCATATCAAAGCAGCTGAGGTGTAGTGTTAAGTGGACTAAATCTGGATGGGAGATGGAAATTTGGCTTTGCTGCCTTACACAAAAACACTTCCATTCTTTGGCCTCATTTTCCTTCACCTAGTACCTGTGTGACCCTCAGGCAAGTTACTTAGCCTCTGTGGCCTCTATTCCCCTATCTGTAAAACGAGGAGGTTAGACTTTCTGGTGTTTGAAGCCTCTGTGATGTCATCTACATTCCTGTTCTTGGAGAGCTCATCCAATCCACGGCTCCTGAGCCTCCACAGGGGACGACTCCAGGTATACCTCTGATCCCAACCTCTAGCCCAGAAACATTTAACATTGAAAACTGAGCTCATCTTGTGTAGAAACCAACTCCTCCCCAGCCTCCCTATTCCTGCTGTCTGTCATCCTTTGTGAACAAGCTCAGAACTTCAGAGTCCTGAATCTTTCTTCACGATGTAGCAATAATCCATTCTTTCCTCTCCATCCCCATGATCACCAACTACCCAGATAGCTTCCTGCTTCCAACTGATGCTGCAAACACTGCCTAATTAATCCTAAAAAAAAAAATTGCTGTGAGATATCATGGGACAGTATAGGGTGCTGGGCAGAGAGGGAACCTGGAGGTCTGAGCACTGATCTAGGTCTGGGCTCTGCTACTAATTAAAAATATGGTCGTAGGTAAGTCATGTCACGTTGGTGGAGCCCATCCCCTTCCTTGGTTTGAGGAGGGGCCACATGGATGGCATAGTGGAGAAAACATTTAACTTGTCAGTCAGAAAAATTTGTATCTCTGACACTTAGAGGCTGTGTGAGCACAGGGTAAGGCACCCATCTCCAAGATGCAAAATGAAGGGTCTTCAGTTCCAGGGTCCGCTCCAATTTTCAATCTGTGATCCTCAGCAGCAACGTTAAAGGGTTGGAGTTGGTCAGGAGTTGGCAAACTACAGCCACACTCGCCTGCTGCCTGTGAGCGAAGAGTGGTTTTTATCTTTTAAAATATTTATTGTATTTCACACTGCAAAAACCACTCATAGCTCCAGGTCATACAAAAACCAGGCGGCCGGCCAGCCAGATCTGGCCCTTGTGGGCTGATCCCTGGACTAGTTTGTTCAGCTCTAAAATGTTGTTCTCCTGGCCACACACCTTCAATGGCTCTCCCTTCTACCTGCAGAGTCTACACGCCTTAGCCTCGGGTTCAAAGTCCTCTTACGATATAATATGGCCCTTAACTTCCTTCTCCACTGTATTTCTGAGCACCTAGCTTCATGGACACTCAGTCTCTACAAACTAGGTTCCTCTTTATTGTTCAGTCCTTTTGGGTCACGTCCAACTCTGTGACCCCATGGACCCATGGCATGGGGTTCTCTTGGCAAAGATACTGGAGTGGTTTGCCATTTCCTTCTCTGATGGATTAAGGCAAACAGGTTAAGTGACTTGCCCAGGGTCACACAGGTAGGAAGTGTCTGAGGCTTTTTACTGTACCTCAAACACATTAAGCATCCTAACCTCCTTGTTCTTGCTGTGACATGCCATGCCCCTTTCCCTATCTCTAAATTCTAAATTGGGAAGACTCCAAGGCCTAGGTCACTGCCTTCCTTCCTCCAGAAAGCTTTCCCAGGTCACCCCAGGCTGCAGAGTGTCTCCCGTGTGCCAGGGACATCCTCGCGTCTGGGAGAGATGCAAAGATAGAAAGGACATGGTTGCTGCCCTCACAGCTCTGAGGACATGAAAAGGAGATAAGATAAATACAGGAATAACTACAATATAAGACAGAACATAATAAGCACAGGACAGAGTATTCCCACAGTGACTGCTCCCTCCCTTGAACTCCTGTAGTTTTTATTGTCTGGCCCAGCTTTGGGCCATTACTCATGTATGGCCTGTGAAACCTACTTCATTCGATTGTTCCTCATTTCTCCCATTGTTAACTTTTCATGGACTACTGATTAATGTCTCATTTCCCCAGGTGAACCCTGTCTCAGCTCTCCCAGATGTGCTGCATACAGACCTCCCACTACACTAAGTACTGGGCGTTTGCTGGCCAGTCCTCGGCTCACAGTGCTAGGGCTGGAAGGGGACCTCGGGGACCATTCAGGCCAAGCCCCTCCTTTTACAGAAGAAGAATGTGGGGCCCAAGGAGGCGGGGGGGAACTTGCCTGACCTCTCACAGGCAGCAGTCATCAGAGGTGGGGTTTCAGAAGCTGGGTTTTTTCTTTCCCTAGAGCAGGCAGAGCACTCTAGCCCAGCAGGGCTCAGGCACCCCAAATGCAGGCCACCCATGGGCCACACAGGGCCCACCTGACACCAGGGTGTTGGTGCGTTGTTTTAGCAGAGGTGGCTTTTATCTGATGAGGTGGCACACACGAACTGGCAAAGGTCACCAGGGACCAGCCTACTGCCACTCCTAGGTAAATGACTGCTGCCAGGGTCCATGCTAGCAGATTTGCAAAGGTGAAACACAGTAGAAAGAGCACAGGCCTTGAAGTCAGGAGACACCTGCACTCAGATCCCAGCTCTGACTCTATTACATGAGCACAGCCCTGCTCCTCTTGGGGCTGTGATTTATTCGTCTATTTTTTTCAACCAGACCTGCAACTTCATCATTCACATCTAGTGAAGAAACCTCTTCTACTTGTAGGTCAACATTTATTTGCTGTACAAATTAGTCTTCCCTGAGAGGTTAAGTGATCTTCCTGGGGTCATAGAGCCAGGACATGAACCCTGGTCTTCCTTACTGCAAGGCCAACTTGCTAGCTATTCCCCTATTCTGCCTTCTTTCTCATCTGTGAAATGTAGATGGATCATACCTGTGCTGCCCACCACCAAGGGTCATTAGGAGGAAAGCACTTTGTAAACCTTCAAGCACTCTAGAAGTGGAAGTTATTATCATACATGGTAATAATGTTATCAAGAATTCCTGGTGCCCACACAAAGAGGATTTGCTGATCATGTGTCTTATTAGTAGGGAAAAAAAAATTTCTGATCCCTCTACACTAGAAATGCTTCCTCTGCCTGGTATTCTTGGAGCTGAGCCAGAGAATCCCTGGCCCCTTTCTGTCCTCCCAGCTGAGCCTGGGTTTAGGGTGGACAGAGCACTCAGCAAAAAGACCAGAACTGGGGAGGAAGGGCACGGACCCCTGGGGATTTCCTTACCGTGTTGAAATACTCAACGCCAGTGCCTGCAAAGGCTTCAGCAATGTCCCGGGTCGTGGCCACGCAAGCGATGGGGTGGCCATTGCCGATGGACTTGCCCATGGTGACGATGTCGGGGACAAAATCCTCCCCCTGCAGCTGAAAGGCCCAGAAGTACTTGCCGACTCGGCCAAAGCCAACTTGAATTTCGTCAGCCACAAAAACACCTCCGGCCCTTCGGATGTGTCTGCAGAAAAGTAAGGTGGGGGGTGATTTGCTGCTTCCCCTCTGCCCACTTAGGGAATGTGGTAATGTGAGAACCCTGGGAACGACTCTTTTTTAGTTCTTAGGGCCAGGGAAATACTTCGTGACCTTTGTCAAGTCACATCACCCCTCTTCCGGGGAGTCACTGTCATGTTGGAAAGATTCAGATTTGGAGACCCCACAGGACCATGGATTCAGCAGGTTTAGGAGGGACCTTTGAGGTCATCTTGTCCAAGTGCCTCATTTTGCAGATGAGGAAACTGAGGAACAGGGACTCATTCTAGGCAGAGGTCTAATTTGAAATGAGTAAATTTGGGGTGGTTTCCACTCCACCATGTTGCCTTGTAAGCATCCAAGGATCATGCTTCAAAGCTTGGCTCTGCTGTTACACTACCTGTGTGAACTTGGATAACATGCTCCTCTTTCCAAAGCCTCACTTTGTTCACCTGTTAAATGGCGGGAGCTAGTCTAGAGAAGGTCTGTTCTTCCACCCAATCCTATAATCTCCCTGGGCCTCAGTTTCCTCATCTGCAAACTGAGGAGGTCCAGGGGTGGTAGGTTTCTAAGATTCCTTCCATCTCTGGAGATCAAATTTTTTAAAATAGTTTTTTGTCTCAATATTGTATTGATGCTCTTTGTTTTGCACGGCTATGTTTTCACCCTCCCCTTCTCACCTCCCCACCACCGCTAGAACCGTTCCTTCTAAACTAGATCAGTGGTCAAGTCAAAAGAGTAAAACCACTGGCCGTGTCTGACGACAGAGACTTCATTCTGCACCCATAGTACGCCACTTCTGTCCTGAGAGGTGGGAGCTGTGCTCTTGGAACTGAAGAGCTACTTAGGCGTTTTTGACAGGCCCAGCCTAGGCTGGGGATCAAGAATAAGGACTGAGGGACTAAGATTTCTCACATTTGATACCCTCAGTGAGGCACAGATGCTCTTTTCCACCTCCCACTGTAATTCTGCAGTGACCTACTTACTCTGCTGCCTTCTGGAAATAGCCAGCCGGGGGGAATGATCTGGCCTCCCACGCTGGGCAAAGACTCGATAAAAAAGGCCGCTATCTGTGGACATAGAGAGCGATGTGAGGCTGCGGCTGTGTTAACATGGCAGGGCAGCACTTTCCCTGGAAGGAGTGCAGAGGGCACAGGCTTGCCGAGAGCTCTGCGCTGGGGAAGGGGAGGATGAGCCCTGCTGGGCTGGGATCTCTTAGCCTCATACCTGTCTGCCTGTCCTGGCAGTCTCCTCACCACCCTCTCCCACAGAGCCCTGGGAGGCCCCCACAGCCCCATGTCCTTAGCAACCATGGTACCAACCATTACCTTCCTGCCCTTCTCCTGTGCACTGTCAATCACCTGCTTCACCTCTGCTGCGTATACACTGGCTGGCTCTGGGTGGTCTTCTCGGTAGGGCCCCCGGAAGGTGTCTGGGAGAGGGACCTACGCATAGAAATACTGTAAACCTTAAAGTGTTATATGAGTATGAACTTTTGAGTGGAGGGAAGTGTAGGGAAATTCCCTCTCCCAATGTATGGTGGCACCTTCTCTGTGACTTGCCATCTTAGCTGCTTTGAGGCATTGGGAAGTTAAGTGACTTACCCAGGAGCACACAACCAGTATGTGCCAGAGGAGAAATTTGAACCCAGGGCTTTCTGACTCAGAGGCCTGCCTTCCATCTGGTAGGCCCTGATGCATCTCTGAGCTGTTACTAATATCATCATCACAAGGACCCTGGGTCAGGGCTACATACCACGTGTACCCACTCTGGCTGTCCTTCCAGACTCCGGAACTTGTAAGGGCTTATGTCAGTCAGAGAGCTCAGATGCCCATGGTAAGCACTGAGGAGAGAAGGGGGAATCAGTCCTTCCCCAGAGCTGCAGGCCCTGCCTTGCCCCCAGGAGACACCCCTCAATATGAGCCACACTTGGGTATGGCCACCCTCACTGACTCCCCAGGTTTGGCAGCTTCCTCCTAGACCTGGCACTCCTTAGCTGGCTGAGGAGGTCTCCAGAAAAGAGCCCTGAGCCTTGCATTAGGAGATCTGGTGAGGAATCTGGGATCTGACCCTTCCTGAGCTGTGTGACTTCTCCTATCTGAGCCACAGTTTCTGCATTTGTAAAATGGGAATAACAATACTGTGCTTCCTCACCTCATGTGAGGTGTACTGTATTACAAAAACAGATGCCATGACTATTATCAAATGCAGTGGGACAGGTGTATATATCAGGGATTGTCACCTGCCTGGAGGGGCCTTTGTGATCCTCCTCCCTTCCCAATTCCAGGGGAGCCCCAATGAAAGTGGAATACCATTATTCTGTAGGAGTAGGGGACCCTACCACCACCCTTTGGGCTTTGCTCCTGTCACCCACTGGTCCTGGTGTCCTCCTCTTTTCTGCCTTACTTAGACTCTGCTGGTTTAAGACATCTGAAATCAAAGCAAAACTGTCACCACCCTCCACCCCTAAGAATCATCCCCTCACCCATGTCTTTCTTCAACAGTGGTAATAATAATTTATTTCCATAGAACTTAAGGGCATATCTGTGGTCTAGAGTTGGAAAGTCCTCTAAATCCAAATTCTCCGTCATTTTGCAAAAAAGGAAAATGAGGTCCTGACAGAGAGTGACTCCCCCAAGGTCACATAAGTAAGTGGCCTTGGAAGGTAGGACCTGTGAATATAACTATCTCCTTTTTACTGATGGGGAAACCAAGGCTCACAGAGGTTCCTAGGAGATCTCTTTAGAAGGATCTGGCACTTACTGGTCCACTACCACCACATCTCGATGTCCAGTATACCGACGAGCCAGCCTCAGGGCCAGGTCATTGGCTTCAGACCTACAACAGATGGTGATGACCACTCAGATCGCTGACCAGCAGGCTAGGTTTCCTTTCATTGTGGAGCACTTCTGCTCCACAATAACATTTATTATGTACTGTGCTAAGTGCTGGGACCACAAAAAAAGTCAAAAGACGGCCCCTGCCCTCAAGGAGCTCACAGTCTAATGGGGGAGACAACAAGCATTTAGAGTGAAACAAGCTATACACGGGATAGATGGGAGATCACCAAGAGGGAAGGCACTAGACTGAAGAGGGGCTGGGGAAGGACCCCTGTAGAAGCGGGCCCTGCTGGGGCTCCTTCTGGTCCTAGGTTCTCTTGGGCAGCCCCAGAGAAGCACTGCTAGCCAGCTGCTGCCTCTGGCACTTACAGTGAGCATAGTGTGATGCTGGGCCAGGAGCAGGACAAGTTTAGATAAGACTCAGTCCCTGCCTTCATGGAGCTTACAGTCTAATAGGGAGGTAAGACATGAACACAGATAATTAGAGTATGTAATAATGTTTGATAAGTATGTCTGAGAACTGTTAAAAAAAAAAAAGAAAAAACGCTATATCCGATTATTTCATCTGCTGGGCACAGCTTGTGCCTTGATGAAAGGCTGCTAGAGGCCAGGCTGGGCCTTCCATCTGTCCCGAAGGACTTCCCGTACATAGGGAGTCTGTCCCTTCCTGATGCCGCCTCATAGCCACCCTCCTCAGGTGAAAGGACCTCAGACCTGTGTGCTAGCATAGCATTTCATGTCTTCTGAGGAAAGGCCAGTAGGGGCTAGACCAGGCATCTCCCACCTGCCCCAAAGCAACTGTGCCAGTCCAAGGCAACTTCTGCTTCCCTGCTGTAGACTGATCTCCCTCCAATACAAACAGAAACCTTGCCTTGGGCTTCTGTCTCCCATCTCCTGCTGGGCTTGTCTTCTTCTACCTAATGTTGAACGTTCTCACGCCTGGTCCTACCTTTCACATCCCAGTGACTCTGAACTCCTCTAGGTCATCATCCAGACCCCATTCCCCACCTCCCACTATGTGGTTCCTCATTCCCATCCACCACGATCCTCCCACCTCACAGTGCCAGCCTAACACCAGTCCCTCTGGAATGCCTGTTCTACAGGCATCAAACTTCCCTGCATCTTAAATCTGTTCCTCTCCCACTTTTTCCGTCCACTAGCTTTTACTGAAACCTGATTCCCCCGTGACGACGCAGCGTGACTGACCACCCGTTCCAGTACTGACTACACCTTCACTTATTCTCCTTGACTCTTTGGTCAAGGCAGGAGATCTCATTGGAATACTCCTTTCACCCCATCGCCACTTGCAGATTCTCTCTCTTTCTCCAGCACTGGGTAACCTTTCTTCCTTTGAGGTTCATGCTACTCACATCTACCACCCAATCAAAATCTTAGTAACTCTTATCCACAGACCCCCCCCCCCCTTCCCTGGTTGCTCTCCTTCCTTACTGAGTTCAGTAGCTGGCTCACAACTTTTCTCTACCCCCCAACTCCTGTCTTCATACTAGGGGATTTCCACATATATACCAATTCTCCCTCAAATACCTTAACCACTCAGTTCCTCCACTTACTCACCTCTCATGAGCTATTTCACTACCCTACCTCAGCCACACACAAAAGATAGACCCTCCATGTTAAAGAATTCTAAAATCCTCTCACCTGACCATAATTGGCTTTTCACCTATCCCTCTGCCTTCCCTTACAAAACCCTACCTTTTGTCTGTACCACGACCTTTAATCTCTTGACCCCTCAATCCTCTCCTAGATCATCTCCTCAGCACTAGTCATTCTCATCTTTTTTCTCCAGTTTTATCCCTTGGTGAAGCAATTCAACTCTATACCATCCTCCTCTCATGAATCCCTGACTCCCTTATCACACCGATGATTATGCCCAGCCAGAAGTCATCCTTGGATCACAGCCACCAATCATCACCTCTGCTCCTGTGTGTGCTGCTGAAAGAAAGTGGAGAAAACCATGCAATGGTTCTGACTGTGCGCACTACAAATTTATGTTACATGACTTCAACTAGGCCCTCCGATACTAGGCAACCCTCCTATGCCTTCCTTGCCAACTCGCTATCCCACTCTCCACAATGGCTCTTCCAAGCCTTTTTTCATCCCTCCTCTAATCTCCCTCCACTCTCAGCTGGGAACTTTGCCTCATATTTTACAGGGAAAAAAATGGAGGCCATTCACGATGAGGTCACTCTTCTCCCTTCTTCCTGATCTCCTGTCACTCAGGTGCCTTCTGCCACTAACTCCTCCTTCACCCCCGTCTTGCATGGCGAAGTAGCCTTACTCCTTACCGAGGCTAACCGTTCTACTTGTTGAAGGGATCCCATTCCATCCCTTTTTCTCCAATGCATTGTCCCTCCATCATCTCTGCTCTTTCATTATTTTCAATCTCTCCATTTGGTTCTTCCATCTCTGCTAATTATCATCCTATATTTCTTCTGCCCTTTGTAGCTAAACTTCTCAAAAAGGCCATTTACAAGAGGTGCCTCCGCTTTCTCTTCTCTTACTCTTTTCTTTACCTCTTCCGGTCTGGCCTCTGACCTCATCATTCCACCAAAACTGGTCTCTCCACAGTTATTAATGATCTCTTAGTTGCCAAATCCAGTGGCCCTTTCTCAGTCCTCATTCTCCTTGACCTTTCTGCAGCCTTTGACACAGTTGATCGCTCTCTCCTCCTTGACACTGTCTTCTCTCCAGGTTTTCAGGACACCACCCTCTCCTGGTTCTCTCCCTTCCTCGATGACCTATCCTTCTCTGCCTCCTTTGCTGTATCATCATCCAGATCACACCTTGTAACCATAGGTGTCCCTAAGAGTCTTTTCCTGGGACATCTCTTCTCCCTCTAGACTACTTCACTTGGTGATCTCATCAGCTCCCATGGATTTCATTCCCATCTCTCTGCCAGAGATCCTCAAATCTACATATCCTGCCCCAAACTCTCAGCCCACCTCCAGTCTCCAGCCTCCAACTGCCTTTCATCCATCTCAAACTGGATATCCAGTAGACATCTGAGATTCAGTGTGTCTAAAACAGAATTCATCCTTCCCCCCAAACTTTCCCCACTGCCCGACTTCCCTGTAGAGGACAACCACCATCCTCACAGTCCCTCAGGCTCACATCCTAGCAGTCATGCTGGACTTCTCACTCTCTCTCCCTCCTCCATATCGAAGCTGTTGCCAAGGCCTATTAATTTCATTTTTTTTTTTGGCTAGGCAGTGGGGTTAAGTGAGTTGCCCAGGGTCACACCGCTAATAAGTGTTATGTGTCTGAGGCTGGATTTTGATTGCACTTTCGCAACATCTCAGTTTATGCCTACTTCTCTCCTCTGACATTGCCACTACTGGTGCAGGCCCTCATTGCCTCTTGACTCAGTTACTAAAATAATCTGCTGATAGGTTTCCTTGCTTTGAGTCTTTCCTTGTTTCAGTCTATCCTCCATTCAGTCACTAAAGGGATTTTCCTAAAATGCAGGCCCAATCATCATACACACACACACACACACACACACACACACACACACACACACACACACACACACACACACACACACGCTCCCACGGCAAATACAAAATGCTCTATTTGGCATTCATGACCTAGTCCCCTCCTGCCCTTGCCAGTCTTCTGACCCTTTAGTTCCCCCCATATACTCTTACATCCAGTGACACCAGCCTCCAGGCTGTTCCACCAACAAGAAGATCCATCTCTTAATTCCAAAGCCTTCCCTCCGTAGTTATCTCCTATTTAGCAGGTAAGTAGCCAGCTTAGTACTTATTTGTTTCCTTGTTATCTCCACCTTTAGAAAGTAAGCTCCTTGAGGGCAGGAACTGATTTTCGCCTCTTTTTGTATCTCCAAGCACTTAATAAATGTAGGTTGATTGATTACTAACAAGGGAAAGTTCCATTTAACAATTCAATCCATCAAGCATAAATGAAGCAGGGTTCTACTAGCCAGGAAGAAAAGCAGTCTGGACCTGGCAGGGGTCCAGGAGACCAGGGCTCAGGTCCCACCTGACACACCCTGGATGTGTGATCCTGAATGGCCCGCAACCTCTCAGGGCTCTGGGAAGTTCTCTGAGACTCTCAGTTGTGGAGATGTTGCTATCTGCCTGGTAGAAGGAACTTCCCCCAGGGAGCTCCTCCACTGACAAAATCCCAGGTCCAGATTAAAAAAAAAATGTGCCTGGCACTGAGGACACAAAGACAAAAATGAAGCTGTCTCTCTCCTACAGGTTCTGGGGGACTGTGGCAAAGGCTATGTTGGATGTGGGAATTCAGAGGTTGAGGGAGGGGAGCAGGAGACTGTTCTAAGGACAGGGAATAATATGGGCAAAGGTAGGGGTCAGAGAGCATAGGGATTGTGTAGGGGGCAGAGAGAGTCCAGTTAGGTTAGAATACTCTGTAGAGAGGGCAGGAGTGTCAGGCAAGACTGGAAAGACAGGCGGTATCACATAGCCTAGGGTCTCAAATTGTCGTTCAGTCGTTGTCTGACTCTTTGCGACCCCTTTTGGGGTTTTCTTGACAAAGACACTGGAGTGGTTTGCCATTTCCTTCTCCAGCTCATTTTACAGGTGAGGCAAATAGGGTTAAAGCGATATGCCCAGGATCACACAGCTAGTAAGTGTCTGAGGCTACATTTGAACTCAGGTCTTTCTGACTCGAGGCCCAGCATGATGACAGCCAGTGCCATCTAGCTACTTACTTCCTACACTGCAGAGCCTCAATCAATGGAGGAACATTTATTAAGTGCCTCTTATTTCCAGGATCTGAGCTAGACACTGGAGATACGAGACTAAAAACAGTCCTTGCCCTAAAAGGAGCTTTCCCTGCACTGGCCTAGCTAACAAGGTATAGCCCTCTTTGGGGGGTGGGGTTGGAAGGGGGACATCCCTAGTGGCTTAGAGACTTACCCAGAGTTCAGGAAGTAGAACACACAGAGCTCCTTGGGCAGCGTTTGGGACAGCCTCTGAGCGTAATCCACTATGTTGTCATGCAGGAAGCGGCTGTTGGTGTTTAACACTTGGTTTTGTTGATGCGCAGCTTGGACCACGTAAGGGTGGCAGTGCCCGACTGAAAGGGGACAGAGTGAGAGGAGAGAGCTGAGGTTGCCCTGGAAGGGCTGAGCTTCCATCGCAATCCTATCAGCTGGCCCTCCTCCATCAGGTAGGTTGGGTCATTCTGTCCCATCCCTTCCCACCCACGTGGAGAAATGAGCAAATAGAGGCCAGAGAGAAGCCTCATTGCCCTTTACCCCAGAAGGGAAAGTCATGAGTTTCTGAGGGTAAAAGATGCTTAACAAAAGAGGGGAGTCGGTGGCAAAGTACATAGAGCACCTGCCCTGAAGTCAGGAGGACCTGGGTTAAATCCAGCCTCTAACACTTACTAGCTGTGTGACCCTGGGCAAGTCACTTAACCCTAATTGCCTCAAAAGAAAAAAAAGGGGGGGGAGTCTTAAGATACCATGAAAATTAGAAAGAAACAGGTTGTGGGGTAAGTGGGATCTAAGGGATAAATACCAAAAGTACACCATGAGAACAACAGAAAAGAGTGTTAAATTTGGAGTCAAAAGACCGCCTTGCAAATCCTGGCTCTGAAGAAGTCACCTAAACTTTTCTGGGCTTCAGCTTTCTTTTCTGGAAAGGGAAGGGGTTGAACCAAAAAGCTCTAGGTGGGGGAGGGGGGTTGACTTCAGGTCATAGACTTAAGTAGGGGTGGGGAACCTGTGGCCTTGAGGGCACATGTAGTTTTCTAGATCCTTAAGTGCGGCCTTTCGACAGAATCCAAATTTTACAGATTTATACTGTTTGGATTCTGTCGAAAGGCCGTACTTAAGGATCCAGAAAACTACATGTGGCCTCAAGGCCACAGTTCCCCACTCCTACTTAGGTCTATGATCCCAGGTCAAATCAGGGGCTAACAAGGGTCCTCGCAGGACAGGAGACAAACGCTCACCTCCAGCTGTCCTGCAGCCCCTCCGTGGTCCCAGCAGCCCTTGGTTTGTGAGCGAGGTACCTACCGTGAGCCACGTTGTTGATGCAGTCAATGTACTCCACTCCCTTCTCATCATACATGTACTGGCCTCGGCCTCGCACGATCTTCACAGGGTCCTCAGGAAAAAAAAGCCTGCAGGAAGAGCTGCAAAGAGAGATCGCAGAAGGAAGGGCCCCTTTAACCGCTGCCCTGGGGCCTCCTGGCCTCAGGCTGTCCAGTGTGCCTAACTCATCCCTTTGTGTGTTTGCCTGTCCGCATCTGAGGCCGCGGGCGTCCTGCCGGCTCTCTTCTTGGCTGGGCTCCTGGGAATGGCTAGTCCTCCCTTCTTTCCTCCTCCTGTGTTGTGATTATGTGCTGTATGTACTCTGGGGTACCTGCTTGTCAGCTCTGTGAGGGTGGCTTTCTCCCTCCTCCTCCCTTTTCTGTCTAGAATCATCTCAATTAGATGTGCAGCACTCCAAGCAAATATGCTTTTTATCAGGCTTGGTTAAAGCACACTTCACTTCTTGCCAAGACCCATCATTTTTGTGTTTTAAGCTGTGGTCCATAAGGAAACAGCCTGTATGGTAGGTGGCGCAGTGGATAGAGACAGGAAGACTCATCTTCCTGAGTTCAAATCTGGCCTCAGACACTTACTAGCTGTGTGACCCTGGGCAAGTCACTTAACCCTGTTTGCCTCAGTTTCCTCATCTGTAAAATGAGCTGGAGGAAGAAATGGCAAATCACTTCAGTATCCATGCCAAGAAAGCTCCAAATGGGGTCACGAAGAGACTGAAACGAATGAATAACAACAACATAGGAATTATCATTTACAAATTTAGTTGGTTGATAAAATCAAGCCCTGGGCTCCCCAGGATGGAAAGGGTCAGACCCTTGAACTAAATGGAGCTGCTAATAAGAGGATTGAGTCTGCAGAGCCAGCCAGCCTCCGTTCAAACTCTCTTTGAAGTTTGCCAGGTTCCTGGAGCAATGGGCACAGAGCTGGGTCACGCCTCAGAGAATGAGGCTCCCTCCTCTGTATGTGTTTCTTCATCTGCTGGGTGAAGGGCACCCTACTCATCTTTTTATCCCTGCCCAAGCATACAGTGTGATACAGTGGAAGAGGGCTGGTTCTGGAGTCATATAGCAATGACACCTTCAAGTTATAGGATCCAAGGTGAGTCATTTCTGAGTCTCTTTTCCTCATCTGTAAAATGGGGATAATCACATTTGTTCTACCTACCTCACAGGGTGAGTTGTGAAGAAGACACTGGATAAATCTTAGGGAGCTACATAAAAGTGAGTGTTTTGTTCCCTGGAGGATGGGGACCCAGAGTCAGAGGACTTGGGTTCAAGTCCCAGTGAGGAGGGTTAGACCTGATGATCTCTGAGGTCCCTTCCAGCTCTACATCTATGTGGACCTGACCATAGTGCCCAGTGATTGTTTGTTTGACCTCAGCCTCCCAACTCTTCCAAGATCAATTAATCAATGGGCATTTATTAAGCTCCCACTGAATGTCAGGCACTCATAATACAAATATAAAAGCAAGACAATCCCTGGCTTCAAGGAGCTTATATTTTCCAGGGACAATACAACATGTTGACAGATAATTCAGGATTTGTTTAAAAACAGAGAACAAGCATTTATTAAGCACCAATTGAATGCTAGGCATTCATAATACAAGATAGTCCCTGGCTTCAAGGAGTTTATATTCTCCAGGGGAATACAGCATGTTCACAAGGTAAGTAAATACAGGATATGTTTTTTTAAAAAGTGTTGGGGGAAGGGGCAGCTAAGTGATACAGCACCGGCCCTGGAGTCAGGAAGACCAGAGTTCAAATCCAGCCTCAGACATGTAACACTCACTAGCTGGGCAAGTCACTTAATCCCAATTGCCTCACCCCCCCAAAAAAAAAGTGTTGTTGGGGGAGAGGAGGCAGTGGGAGGGTGGGGTTAGCGTTTAGAGAAAAGGTCTTATAAAGGGTGTGGCATTCTATTCATAGGCTGAAACTGCCCAGGAAAACCCTAGCTGAGTTAGTTTTTCTTCCCAGTGTTTTTGGTTTGGTTTTTTTTGAGGTTTTCCAAGAGCAGCTTTCCCCATTCAGATCCCTGGCTGCTGCATTCCCCAAACACCCCATCACTGTGTCCTCACCCAGCAGTTCTTCCCTCCCTGGCTCCAGGAAGGGAGCTGGCCCTGGTGGAGGGCAGGCAGCCCCTCCCACAGGTGGTGATCACCATCACTGCCGGCAAGCAAGAACCTTCCAAAAAACTCCTCCCCCTTGTACCTTTGGCCCTGGGTTTCCTGTGTCTTTCTTGCAGGCAGAAGAAAAGTGCTGATGGAGCCGCTTTGGGATGGAAGGGGGGAAGGGAAAGGAGGGGCTGGCGGTGCCAGAGGCACCGGGCCAAAGACTTTGGAATCCTCTGCCTGCTTCTCTCGAGGGACAGAGGGCACTAACCTGAGATAAAGAATTCCAACCTGCTGCTCCTACAAGTGTGAGCGGCTACGTAGGGAAGGAGGGGGGTGGTAAGGACATGAGCTCCCCTCTGGCAAGGTCAGGGGTCAGGGATGTGGAAGCCAAGAAAAGGCCTGAGAGGCAGAGGAGTGAGGAGTGGGCAGTCAGGTGTGAAGAGCTAGAGGGCTTGGGGCACAGCAGAGTGAGGAAAGGAAGGTTCTGGGACCGAGGGCTCGGGAGTGTATGATGCTGAGGGCCAGGTATGTGGGACTCAGGGGGAAAGGTGTTAAGGACAAGGTCTAGGCCCACTATTACCTCTGTAGATGACGACTGAATATATGAATGAATGGGGGGGGCGTTGTTAAGGATGGAGGGGGAAGGACAGTAGGAAGTTGGGAAAAAGAAGACCAGGAAGGTGGGGCTAAGGGCAGAGATATATAGGGCCAGGGGTGAGTGAAGATAAGGGGGGAGAAATTTAGAACAGGGCACATGTGGAAGAAAAAAGATGTGTGTATAAGGGACAGATTAAGGGGTTGGGGGAGGCTGTGTATGTGGGAAACAGGTTTGAATGGTCCTGGCATGGAATGGGGTGGGGGTATTTAGTGCTGGATACTAAAACTAGAGGTGTTTAGCACCTTCACTAACAGGATTAGGATTAGGAAAGGATGGTGGGGGAGGTTACCACGGAGTGTGTATTCAAGTTGGGGAGATGAGCCAGTGCAGGGCTGTGGAAATGGACAGGACCGTGAAGGAAGTTTGGAGGAAGGGGTTGGATGGGAGGAATGGTGTGTAGAGGGAGATTTGGATAGGGAAGTAAAGTGGTAGGTGTGTGTATGTGAATTTTGGCTTGGGGGGATAGGGAATAGTTTGGCTGGGAGTGGGATAATGTGCCTACAAATGGTAGAGTAGGATGGTGTGGGGGAGTAGTTTGGGATAGAGGGAGGATGAGGGGATGCTATGTTTGCAGTTTGAAGTGAGGGTTAGAATGGTTTTGGAGGAGGGGCTCTGTGTGTGTGGGGGAGGAGGTACGATGGCACCTATGGGGGAGTTTGGGGCTACAGTCTATGTAAGATTAAGGAAGAGGGGGTTTGGGGAAAGCTGAGGAGGATAGGGTATGTGGGGAGTCTGGGGGACTTAAGGGGCAGGGCATGTGGAGTGTTTGGGGTAGAGGTAGGGGAAGCTGAAGGGAAAATGTGTCAGTTTGTGACAAAGGACTGAAGGGTTCAAGAAGCAGATAGTAGATGGGGGACTACAGGGGACATATAAATGTTGGTAGTCTAGGGGAGTGAGAGGAGATAGGGTAAATGAGAAGAATTGGGGCAAAGTTGTGAGAGGTCTAGGGACATAGACAGTGGATGTGGTACTCCTGAATGGAGTCTGGGCAGATGGAGATACCTCCTTTAGGAAGGACATTGATAAAGCAGGTAGCCAGAGAAGGGAAAACTGGATGGTGAAGTGTCTTGAATTTATAGCACAGACAGAAGATTTGGGAACATTCAGCCTGGCAATAACTGCCTTTCCCCTCTCCCCGCGCCCCCCCCCCATCCTCTCAACAATTAACATTTATATATGGAGTGACTTAAAGTCTGCCAAGTATTTTACATCTATTATCTTATTAAATGGAGTGGGGAGTGGATCTTAGACATGCTTTGCCTGGTTCAGAGAACTAGGAGTCATGGGTAGAAATTGCAAAGAAACAGGTTTAGACTTGATGTGAAGAAAAACTTCCCACTATTTCCTGTAGACATCTCAAACTCAGCATGCCCAAAACTGAACTCTACCTTTCTCCCCTAACCTTCCCTCCTTCCAAACTTCCCTATTACTGTTGAGGACACCATCATCTTCCCAGGCTTCCAGGTTCCCAACTCAAGTATCATTCTCAATTCCTCACTATCTCTCACCCCTCATATCCAATCTCTTGCCAAGACCTGTGGATTTTACCTGTGTAACATCTCTCAAACGTGCCTCCTCCTCTTCTGTGACACTGTCACCACCCTGCCTCAGGCCCTCATTACCTTAAGGGGAGGCTATTTTGATTGGCTGGCTGCTGGTGGGTCTGCCTGCTACAAGGCTCTCCCCAGTCCAGTCCATCCTCCTCGGCCACCAAAATGAGTTTCCTCAAAATTGAGTCCAATTTCCTTCACCCTTCACCACCCTTGCTCAATGAACTCTACTGGCCCCCTGTCACCTCCAAGATTAAATGTAAAATCCTCTTTTTGGCATTCAACGGACTTTATAATCTGCTCCCATGTCACTCCCCGACCCTTTCCAGTCTTCTTACACTTTATGCCTCTTCTCCCCGTATTCTTCAGTCTAGTGACAATGACCTTTTCTTAGCTAGTCCAAAAAGAGGATTCTCCGTCTCCCAACCCTGGGCATTTTATCTGCCTGTCTCCCATTCCTGGAATACTCTGCCTCCTATCTCCAGCTTCTGGGCTCCTTCAAGTCCCAGCTAAAATTCTGCCACCTACAGGAAGCCTTTCCTGATCTCTCTCAGTTCTCTGCTGATTATTTCCAACTTATACTGTATATGGCTTGTTTGTACACAGTTTGGTGCATCAGATGAAGCCTCTGGGCCCTTTCTCAGAATGTTTTTAAATGGATAAAATAAGATACATAGAATTACAAAGGAAAGCATTTACATTAACAGAATGTTACTAAAGTGTTTTTAAAGGAAGTTCAGGGACCGCAGGATAAGAACTTCCTAGTGCAAGCCCAGTTCCCTCTCCCCTGAGACTTCAAGTCTAGGAAGGGCTGTTACTCAGAAAGGAGAAATTAGGCAGAACTAGGAGGAACGGGCAGAAGTTGAAAAGAGGCAAAATTAACCTCGACATCAAGGAAAAGCTTCCCGACAATTAGAGCTGTCCAAGAGTCGGAACCAATTGTCTCGGGGAGTAACTAGTGAGCTCCCCATTCTGGAGGTGTCCAAGCAGCAGCTGTTGCAGAGGACATTCTCACTCAGGCACTGGCGGAGGCTTGGGGTGAATGGGAGGGGAGGGAGGGGAACGGCGGGATGGGGTCAAGGATCTGGGAGTGGAGGCTGCCCCGAGAGCTGGCTGTGGGAGCCCACCCTCGCTGCCCGCGTGGCACCCTGGCCTGGCCCGACCTGACCCCCCCTCGAGCCTCCGCAGAGGGCACGTCCTAGGTCCCTGGTCCCCGGTCCCCTCTGTACGCCTTCGTACCCGATAAGCTGCCTTCGAAGGGCCAGGGTCTCCTTCTTGCTGTGCCCCTCTGAGGCCATGGCGCCCGGGAAGATACCTGGCAGAGTGAACTTGGAATAGGGAGTGGATCGGGAGCTGGCTCCTCCTGCCCGGCCTCCCAATCTTGGCCCCGCCCCCAAGGAAGGGCCCACCCACCATGACTTCATTCCCACCCATCCTATTCTTAGTCCGGCTTATTGCTCCACCTCTCACCCAATCCTGAGCCTGGGCGCTTCCTACACCAGGCCCCACCTATCCTGGGTCAGTGCTGGCCCAGCCTACCCTGACTTCATTCTGCCCCATCTAGTCTTAGACCTGCTTTTTGCTCCACCTCCGACCCAATCCTGGGCCTGGCCCCGCCCTATGACAGTTCCCGCCTCTTTCAGTCCAGTCCTGGCCCCGCCCATCCTGAGGCTAGACCTGCTTTTCTTGTTCCACCTCCCGTCCAATCCTGAGCCTGGCCCAACCTATCCCGGTTCAGTCCCGGCACCGCCTACCCTGACTTCATTCCCCCCATCCTAGTCCTAGACCTGCTTTTCTTGCCCCACCTCCCATCCAATCCTGGGTCTGGCCCCTTCCTACACCAGGTCCAACCTATCCCAATTCATTCCTGGCACCCCCTCTCCCCCTTCTCCTCCTCTGCTTTCTGGCTTCATTCCCTGTTCTTTGCTCCCGCCTTTCTTCTCACCCCCTGTCTGTGCATGCGCAGCCCCAGGAGAATTCATTCGTCTCCCCTAGTGGTTTTCAGTCCGATGTCTCTTGCTGCCTGTGTGGTCTGACTGTGCAAGTGATGAGTAAGCGTGGGATGCAGAATCCGCCCTGCCTTCCCCCTCACTTGGCTGCTTGGACGAGAGGCAGCTTTATTTCTATAACAAATACACTTGGGCACGGGAGAACCTCACCTTCAAAGAACACCCCACCCTCACTCTGCAGACCAGGACATTCTTTCTTCTCATCTCCAGCTCCAGAACAGCGCTAAGAAACCTGGGATACCTGTCCCCAGAGGTCTTGCCTGTGTCACCTGTCCTTTGGAGTCACTGTCACCAAATTTGGAGAAAAAAAATAGAACTCGTTATTCCCCCCCCCCCCCAGACTCTCTCCTGCTCCAAACTCGTTCTGCTTGGCCCTAGACCATAGAACTAGGAGTGGCGAGTGGAAGTTGCCAAGATGCAGATTATTCCTGTACTATGTGAGGTAGAACTTTCTGACAATTCTAACTGGCCCAAAGTAGAAAAAGTAGTCTAGGAAATGGCATTTCCAAGAAATCTTCAACAGAATTACTTGTTTAATTTCAAGAGGGTTGTTGGGTTGGGCATCCTGGGAAGGGATATACCCATTCAGATAGGAGCTCATAGCCGGCTCCCGAGGTCCCACGTGACTCAGCTGATCAGAAGATATTTGCGGAAAGAGCTCCGGACTTGGAGTCAAGAAACTTAGGTTTGGCCTCAACACTTATTAGCTGTGTGGACATGGGCAAAATAATTTCTTCTCGTATTGGTGATGTGCTCTCTTTTTTTTTCTTGTAATTTTTAACTTTTTATTTAAAGTTTTAAGTTCCAAATTCTATCCCTCCTCTCCCTCCCTGAGATCATAAGCAATCAGATATAGGTTATAGATGTGCAATTTTGTAAAACATTTTGTACAAGAAGAATAAAAAAAGAAAGTGGAAAAAATAATAAAAAATATTTTCCTCTCTTTGAGTCTAATTTCATCTTTTTAAAAATGGATGTACCTGTCCTGCCTCCCTCAAAGGCTATTGTGAGGAAAGTACTTTGAAAACCTCAAAATTGCTATAGAAATGGAACTGCTATTATTTTCATTAAGAACTAACTAAGTAAGTGTGATTAGAAAGATGGAACTTCGCCCCAGAGCAGTTGAGAAAATGTACCTCCCTTTCCTTTTTGAAGGGGCGGGGGACTCTGGGGGTAGAATATTTCATTTACTCTCTGAAACAGTTGGTTTTGTTCAATTTGTTTTTTCTCTTCCTTTTGAATATTTATGACAAGGAATATCTCTGGAGATAGGCAAAGAAGGAGAGATATATTCAGAAATGAAAGTGATACATACAAACAAAAAGTACTAGTAAAAATAAAATGAAAGAAAAACTAGCTAAATATTATTTGCATAAGAACACACCTGGGAAAGCAAGCAAATTTGAAGTCTCTACTAAAGCTCTGGATTCTAACTCCACCAACACAGATCCCTGGGTGGGTGCAACAGGTGGGCCGAATATTTGTCTGCCTACTTATGAGAGTAAACACAGACTCCAGTGTGGTTACTGCTGAGGAGTGTGACTCACAGCAAACACTCCTGTTAGGCCACAGACTTGTGGGTTTGGGCACTTTGAACTCTGGGTTTGGGACCACTGGCCCACACAGTCCAGGAGTCTAATTGAGACCATGACTTAGGTTAAGGTGGTTGGGGTGGGGTTGGCAAAGACCTGGTAGCCCCTAAGGTATGTCTTTTGCCCAGCTTTACAGCCAGAGGCATTGGACTCTCTGTAGACCACGGCTTGTGCCTAGGGCCTGAGGGGTATGAGGGTGGTATCACCAGCCAGATTTGAATAAACGGGGGCTTCAGGTTCTAACTGAAACAATTTCCTTTTTTCTAGTATCGGTGGAAGGGACCGATGCTGCCGCTGTCTATTCCTATCATGACATGTCAGCAGCAGCCTGGAAATGGGGAAAGCAGTGATCTAGAGTGAGAAGGACTGACTCTAGCTGTGAATCCTGGCTCTAGCACTTTCTAACTCTGACCCTGGGCAAGGTACTTACTTGACCTCTCCGAGTTCGTCTTCTCTATAGATTGTTGTGTTGTCTACTTCAGGCCGTGGGTTTTTGGGAGATGGTTTGTATAAAGGCCTTAGAGTGCTTTGTGATTATGAATTACCTTGTTATTGTCATTGCCTCTGTGCAGATGGCCCTCAGATCTAGATACCCAGCCCTAGTCTCTCTCCTGAGCTCCATCTCCAACTGACTAGTGCATAAGCTGGATGCCCCAGAGTCATCTTGAACTCAACATGCCCAAAAGAGAACTCATTATCTTCTCCCCCATCCTCCCCTCTTCTGATCTTCCTTATTATTGTTGAGGGAACCACCCAACTTCAAGGCACCCAGGCTCCAACCTTGGGGTCATCTTTGACTCCTTACCTTCATTCACTCCTTATATATCTAACTGGTTGCCAAAGCTTCTTGTTCCTACCTCCACAACGTCTCTCAAAGCAATCTCCTTCTCTATACTCACATAGGCAGTGCCCTAGTCAAGGCCCCATCATTATTTCTCTCCTGAACCATTGCCATACTCCTAACTGATCTCCCTGCCTCCACTCTGTCCGCACCTCAGTCCATCTTCCATACAGTTGCCAAAGTGATTTTCCTAATGCCTAGGTCTGATAATGTCAACCCCGCCCCCATCCCACTACTCAGGCCAATGGCTCACTATTATCTCTATGATCAAATATGAATTCCACAGTCATTTAAAACTTCACAGCCTGGCTCTTCCTTTATCTCCACTCTTCTTATATGTTATTCCCCAACAAAAACTCTAAAAATCTCATCACACTGGCCTATTTGCCATTCTTCACCAATGACACTCCACCTTTGGGCAGGAGGCCTTTCCCAGTCCTCTGAGATGCTAGTGCCTTAGCCTCTCAAATGATGGTTCCCTGTATGTATTTTTTTTTGGGGGGGTGAGGCATTTGGGGTTAAGTGACTTGCCCAAGGTCACACAGCAGTAAGTATTATATGTCTGAGGCTGGATTTGAACTCAGGTCCTCCTGATTCCAGGGCCGGTGCTCTTTTCACTGAGCCATCTAGCTGCCCCTCTCTATATGTATATTGCCTGTACCCATATTGTCTTTCCCATTAGAACAGACATTCTTAACCTGGTGTCTGTGAACTTTTTTTTTTTTAATATTTTGATAACTGTGCAAGATAATTAGTTTCCTTTGTTTTTTTTTTTTTGGTGAGGCAATAGGGTTAAGTGACTTACCCAGGATCACACAGCTAGTAAGCATCAAAGTGTCAAGTGTCTGAGGCCAGATTTGGACCCAGGTCCTCTTGACTCCAAGGCTGGAGCTCTACTCACTCTGCCACCTAGTGGCCCCATTTGTATTCTTATGTATTTAAAAATACTATTCTGAGAAGAGGCCGGTAGACTTCACCAGACTGCTAAATGGATCCATGACACCAGAAAGATTAAGAAATTCTGTATTAGAGCATAAGCTCCTTGAGGGTCCATAATAAATTATTTTGATTGATTTTCTCATTATTATTAAAAGTAGGAGGGTCCAGAGAGATTACCTTTGATTGTACAGAAGAGCCCAGGGATGGGACAAGTTTTATGCAGGGTCACACAGCAAGTAAGTGGTAGAGCCTGAACCAGAACCCAGATCTCCTAGTTCCTACTTCAGGGCTCCTATTGAAAATGAAGCCAGAAGAAACTTCCCAAGCATGGATCTATGGAAAAGGTATACATGGAGCCCTGGGTGCTGGGGACAGCAATATTATAGGAGCAGCAGCAACTAACATTTACATTGCACTTACTACTTACTTCCAGGCACTGTGCTGAATTCTAGAGACAGTCCCTGCCTTCAGGGAGCTTACAATTTAACACCACTTGATACCCTGGTAACTCAGTCAAAAGGGAGACGGTGTGCAGGATAGATGTTAGGAGAGTTCTGACAAAAATACTTTCCTAAACCTCTAAACAGTTCCAAAATTTCAAATAAAACTGGTGGCCTGAGTGACTCCACACAACCATGAGGGCCTGAACCACTAGATGGCAGCAGCTGTCCAATAATCATGGGGCCCATTTTAGCTCTAAGGAGTTGTAGGAATTTAGCGACCACTTACTCTAACTCCTTCAGTCCCAGGGAGGCCATGGGGATTTACCTAAGATCACAAATCAAAATCAATAACAGAACCCAGACTAGGATCATAGACTTAGATCTAGGAGGGACCTCAGAGCTTCTTTATTCTGCAGATGAGGGCACTAAGGCATAGGAAGGGGAAATGATTTATTCAAGGTCACCCAAGTAGTAATTAACAGAGCCAGGATTTGAACCTCCCTTCCCCTTCCCTTTTCTACTACACCACACCAGCCTTTGTAAACTGGGGACAGTAATCT